CTGAAGTTAAATATCATTGTTCCTCTATAGATGGGAGCAGAGAAAATGGAAATGAAATAGTCGCACCGAGTTTGCTTGGATTGGGCAAAGGTCACAACATTGACGGAACGAGATGTGCTTTCGGTAAGGGCAAGGTCACCGCGAGTGTTGGACCATATACTCAACAACAAAAGTTCCTGTGACATCAATATCTTAGTGTTTTTTTCAAAAAAGTAAAGTTTGGTTTTCAATATTGTAGTTCATGTATGGAATCAAGTCACAAAAACGCAACTGCTTCAGAATAGGATGCATTCCATGCAAAAGTTGGCTTTTATGCAAGCCCCATGCATTTCACTACCCAAGATTAGGCATAAAAACATGTGCGTTAACGGGATTCCATATACATTTTTTTAGCATCGTGCTGACAACAACCACTCAGAAAAACAACAAAATTACGCAATTATTCAACATTACGAAATGCCACGCCTGTCCGAAAATGAGCGTCTGCGAGCCATTGGTATGCTTGAAGCAGGACAGAGTCAACGTGATGTTGCAAGACAATGTAACGTCCACAGAAACACCACTTGGTGTTTATGGCAACGTTGGCAACAGACGAATGCAGTCAGAGACCATCCTCGGAGTGGTAGGCCACGCGTAACCAATAATCGACAAGACAACTGGATTCGAACAACACACCTACGAAATCGATTCCAGCCAGCAACAGTGACTGCAAGAAGCATCCCTGGCCTTCGACGAATATCTTCACAAACCGTACGTCGTCGCCTCAGATGTGCAGGGATTGTCGCCAGAAGACCCGCCAGACGTTCCATTTTGACAGGAAACCACTGTCAAGCACGTCTACAGTGGTGCAGACAGCGTCTACGCTGGACGGCCATGCAGTGGAGACAAGTTCTATTCACTGACAAGTCTCGTTTTCACCTCAGCCACAGCGATGGACGGATTCGAGTGTACCAACGTCGAGGTGAGTTACCTCTTCCATTTCATTTCTGGACTGTTTGCTTGTTTCATACAACTTCGCGAAGCTTCGAAACACACGATCCTGTAACAAGGCCCTTTTGTAACGTCTTGGTTTTAGAATCTGTCAGTGTATGAAGGATTTGATGTCAAAGAGCTGGGTTAATAGTACTGGCCGTTACATTTCTTTGTCAAGATATATACTTCATAATATATCGCCTTTGGGGGTATGGTCTCTCTCAGCGTTGGCGTTCATGAAATTCTCCAAATTATTTATGTCATATAGAGTTTTTCTCAAGGTGTTTTATTTCGTTTTTGATGTATGAAATTATTGATGATTGAACAGTCACACTGATACACATTGTCACCTGGTATATCACCAGAAACGTCATCCTTAAATAGTTCCTGATAGACACATTCTGGAACAGTGTCAAACGGGTTCAAAAACGGATATAGGGGCCGGCGATACAGTCTCAGGACCAACAGTAAGTCTATGCAGTCCTGCTTGCCCCATTTAACAATTGCAGGTACTAGGTACATGTAGTAGGTAGAACCTTCCCACGTGTTATTTACTTTAGTCCTTGTATAAAGTACTGGTGCAGGCTGTTGTAAAAGGATAGTTATGATACCCAATATCATGTTATAATATGTTGAAAATACAGGATGAAATCGACAGCTACAAATGGGCAACGCATGTTCGTTTACTGACATAGAAACTGGATTTACAGGTTTGGATCGTACAGGGCTGCGGCAATATAACCAGTTTTATACAATGTTTTAAGCAAAGATGTAAAGACAGAGATTCAGAATTGCCATGCTAAAATTACTTCTTCATCATTTCTAAACCATTCAACATATGTCTGTACTCGAACTAGAGAAATGTATTATGGAGCTATGTCCACATGAAGATCTCATCCGCATATAATGTAAACGCCGATCTGGGCCATAAGTTGGGTGTTCAACAGTTTTGTTGCCAAGACAAAGTCAAAACCGATTTACTTAAGTGCAATATATGTAATCATAATGTAATTGAAGATGAATACCATTTCCTTTCAGTTTTTTTTCATTTTATATGGAAAACAGAGAGCTCTATTTGAAAAGAAATCTTCATGTATTGTGTATCATAAATATTGTAGTAGTAAGATAGTATAACATTTGTCCCACCTGTCCATGTGCAAAAGTTGTATCTCATGTACACCGTACTCTTGGCCATGTGGCCTTTGATACCGAATAAGATATTATTTTTCTTCGTACAGCTAACATAAATGTTTTTGGCGAGCACTCTGTACGGACAGGATATAAATTCAGCTGATAGATCAAGAAAACCTGACCATTTTGATTGCACAGCCGGGACCCCGGCGATTGACTCCCGCGGTGCGAATGACCAACTGTTGGTCCGAGATTCAAAGTTCGGCATGAATTGACTTTTTAAGTTTTCTCAAGTTGTCGCCTGTACTAACAACAATGCGCATAAGTTGAAGAAATTATTCTTAAAAAGATCTTGAGCGTTGGTGCTGTCATGTTTGCACACACAACAGCAGGAACATGTTGTTAATGCGTATGCATAGAAATGTCAACAATATATGGTCATATATCAATGTTCATGTGCAAACAGATTTGCAACAGTTTGGTCTGTTAACAAACGAAAGTTGATATGTATTTACACTTAAATACTGTACATATTTAACTTGGGTATGAAAAACAAATACCACACTCATTCTCGTTAAAAACCATTTTTAAGAAACTCGCGAACTTATGGTATGTGACCACCTTTTCACTGGGTCAGATACCAGAGAAAGTCCATGTGTTTCATACAAATGGTATCTAATGAGAATAAGTGCGGTATTCTCTATTTACTGAGGGTGTAATCAGTCAGTCAACAATAGCAAAATTGCTCATAAAATATAACACAAAATGTGTACAAGTGTTCGTGAAATGATTACATAGATATTATCAAAGGAACTTTATTAGAGCAAAAAAAAATGAAGAAAAATTACTTAGAAAGTCGTATTCGCTTTTATAGAATCACTTTAAGTTTCTTTCTTGAACGCTTGGAACTTGCAAAATAAACCTTATTTAGAACAATATTCTACAACGCTGGTGTGGCAAAGGAATAATGATGTATGTATCATGGAAGAGTCGATACTGATTTTAACTATACTGAGTCAAATTAAAAACTTCACATTTTTAAAAGTAATCCCATATATGATATACAACGGACAAATGTACAGAGAAGGTAATTTTTAATCATTAATGTCCAAAGAAGGATTTTAATTAACGGCGGTAACCATAATTTGTTCCAAGCACCTATGGTATTCGGTAATAACATCAACAGTTTAAATCATAAGTCCCAAGCACGAGAATCTGATGGCACACAAGTTCAGTAGCGTGTATGGCCACCTTGTGTGTTGACAACTGCCACACAACGCCTCCGCATGGACCTTGTGATGCTTGTGAACACATGATTGGGAAGACGACGCCATTGTTGCTGCAAAATGGTGCCAAGATCTTGCAAATTCTGTGGTTGGTTCTGGAGAGTGCGCAGACCTGGTCGCGGTAATCAGCAGCGTTGAGGTTGCTACGGATGCCAAGAAGCCTGGAACGTGCATTGCCACAGAAAGCACCCCACACCATGACACTTCCGCCTCGAAATCTGTCAACTTCCTGTACACAACACTGGGCGTAACGTTCATGACGGCGCCTCCACACCCTCGCCCTACCATCAGCAAATCGAAGATTTAATCGGGATTCATCACTGAAGACGACTTGATTCCAATTCATCTGAGTCCATCGTAAGTGTCTCTGTGCCCACAATTGACGTTGACGTCTGTGTAATTGAGTCAGAATCGGCCCTCAGTATGGCCGTCGTGCTTGAAGGTGAGCAGTTCTCAGACGGTTTCGAACAGTTTGCACTACTCCTAAACAGTTCATTTCTGGTTGATGTAGCCGTCAAAAATCGGTTATGGAGGTGACGTAAGACAATCTGACGATCCTCTGCATGTGACGTCACACGTGGTCGACCTGGCCGAGGGCGATCAGCGGTGGTACCCGTTTGCTGTAGACGCGTCTGTAAATCATATAAACAGTCCGTCGACTACAACCCATCGTCCTTGCGACTTCAGCTACGGACGTTCCCGTCTGCAAACATGCCGATGGCACGTTCACGTTGCACATTTGAAAGGCGTGGCAAGACAAATGGCCGTAAAGACTTTTGTTTTCTTGTGTTTTTCTTTTTTTGTTAATAACTGCTAACAAGTATGGCTGAAAACACGTGCGGTATTATGTCCACGTGACCAGTTGCACGTGAAAAACCACTTTTGCCACTATAGTGCTGTGCACATGATTTTGATCGAATCACCTGCACAAAATCGGGTGTTATCTGAAGACAATACGCTGTCATTACTGTTTAAATACACAATAAGGGCCCACAATGATAACTGGTCAAAATGTTAAAATTTTAGGATGGTGAAGTTTTTAATTTGGTTCAGTATATTTCAGTTTACAGATTACCGGGAACTATTCCTGATGCTAAATTTGTCAACAATATACCTTCACAACAGCATAAAGCTACATATCCATTGAACTTATATAAGACTGGGCCGGCAAGTTTGTACATTATCAGATTTTCAACTCCGACTGTTCTTTTTGTTGTATGAATGTGAGTGAGTGAGTTGGGTTTAACGCCGCTTTTAACAGTATTCCAGTCATATCACGGCCTGTCAGCTTAATGTGGGAGGAAAGCCCGAAGTGATGCAGGTCTCAGACGTTTACCACTTCGGTGAAACCCACGAGCACGGGTATGGTGCTGACAAACCTAGAAACATAATCGGGGCGAACCGGGATTCGAACCCACAATCATAGGTTTCTGGCACAGCGAATCCCGGCGCCTTAGACGAATGTGTATATGAATGTGAGCATATACTGGAGACTAGAAAGCCATTTTGGCATATCTATTTTTGTCTCATAATTCAATCATGACACGCAATAGTAGTTACATCAGGCATCGTCTAAAATATCCCACACTGAAGTAGATGATAGAACTCAAATTGAACATGTCAATATTTTATTAACATATACGTTTGGAATATCAGTTCAACACTACTCAGTTACAATGATCAAACATGGCAAATGTGAACAGTCATTATCAGCATTATAAAACATCTCCTAAATAATCAAAACCATTATTCTGTGATGAAACTTATTTGAGCAATTACAATTGTAAATCAAAAGTCCAAAAAAGAAAAACACTCCTGTATTATGAAAAACTATTTACAGGAAATTCAAAAACAAAACTGTTTAACAATAACAAGACTATCTTTAATCCAGCATCTCAACCATCTTAATTTCCGAGAAATATGACATACATCTTGCATCAGTTTAAATGTACATAATACTTTGATTACAGTTATAGCTATACATACTAGGGCTGGGACGGGTAACACTGGTACTCGGGTCGGTTGGGTACTGTGTAGGACCCGGGTACCCACAGTACTATCCAGACCCATGGTTACTCATGTGATATATTGTTTAATGACAAAAACTCACTATAGCTCAGTGGTTACACTACATGGCTCTAATGTTCGCATTTCTTTCTGACAATACACACATTCCTTTTGACTTGTATATGTTTTAGTAAAGATAACACTTCAGTCAACTTCCATGAATGCATGATCTGATCGTTTGATACATGTATCTAAATAGTTTTGGCCAGGGCTGCGGTAAAACGATTTCCAATCAGACATTTTGTTCCCAACTCTTGAGACCTGCAGTGGGTACCCGGGTAGGGTAGGGTCGGGTAATAGGGGGTCAGATACCCAGGTACTAAATTTGGACTCGTCCCAGCCCTAATACATACCAAAAGAATTCAACACTGTCACATGCACTTTTGCAATAGACATGTTGATGAAATGTAGGATGACCTAGGGACTGTTGACAATCATTGAATACTTTCACTCACAGTTACAAATAGGTGGAAGATGAAACTACCCTTCCTGAATGTTAGTCTTCTTCCTATATGGAAAAGATGAAACATGTCACCATGGTTACTAATCATGTCAATTGCAAGTTACAGCTGGTGTTATACAGATTGTGATGTATTGAACCAATCACAATGGAAAGGACAGGGGACACATTAATTTGGCATTTTTAAGAAATTAGTTGGCGATATCATTTTACAACAAATCATAATAAAACTAAACATCTAAAGTAATGGAATGTATAACAAATAAGATTAAAAAGTATATGTTAAATGGACAAAAAAACAGTGTCATATTTCTCTTTAATTGAATTATTTTATGAAATGAATATTGCATGTGATGGAAACATTTCAAGAACAAGGAAATGTTTCTAAAATGCAATTAAGAAGACAATACTTTCTAATAGTAGCGATATCAAATAGAGTACTGATTTGTAGGCTTATTTTCCTAATCAAGTCTTCCGGGTTAAATTCATTACTGGTACATGTTTTTATTCTCTTACAAAACAAGATCACACGCATTCGTAATGATATTTAGGAACAAAGAATTCACAGAATAGGTAACAAAAATAATCATATCATATTTATTTAATTATCAAAATTTGATATAAAGATGGACGGAAAACTGATGGAAAACAGAAGAAAAACTGTTTCACATATATTGCATAAATGATTACCATCAAACATAATATGTCATATAAATATTCATGTAAAACATTCTTATGTAAAAATGCCACAACTATACACTCATATGTACATATTTCTTTATACACAAGAAGCATGGTCATTATGTGAAACTCTGGTCAGTCAGTCATTTATTTTGTCTTCTTCTTTTTCTTTGAAATGCGTCTTTTTGTTTTTGAATCAATGATGGACTGTGACTGTTTCTTGATTGTTGTTCGAGATGGGACATCTCCATCATCTTCACCGCTGTCTTCATCATCTAGATCAAGATGAAAACGAACATATATAACATGAACTGGACAGGTATGTGTTGAGACAGTTGTGGGTTACAATTACACTGTTCAAGTTGCATGACCGAAATAGCAGTCATGCCCAAGGTAAGCTCAGATAATATCACAGAAACCATACAGATCACAAGAGGAAGACCTAATCTCTGAAGATGAAACCATGAGGCACACAATATAAACTTCATGACTTGAATTCATTCTGTTAGTATTTATCTGAAGTAGGACAAAAAATAAAAGTATAAGGCAAAATGTAGCCAATGACAGGTTCTTCCATTTCCGAAAAGGGTGCTACAAGAGTAAATCTGATAAGATATTAAACATTTTGACAAAACACTATACATCATCTTTCATTATCTAATGTATTATAAATACACAGGACCAATTTGCCAACATAGCTTTGTTTATATTCCAGTTCTAATGACAAAATACTACAAATGGCACATTCTTTAGTGAGAGATGTCCATGCTAAGTGAGTGATAAGGAGACGGAGATAGTGACATCAATTCAAGGCCCAGGACACTATCATAACAGCACGGACATACACTGGACAACCAAGATTGGAGTTGTGGTGACAGGCAGTTGATCACATGAATTGATCCTATCAACTCTGCTGGTTGATGAGTTGAGCTAACAAGTGCATTTGTTGAAAAGCACAGGAAATAATTTCATTTTTATAGCATGCAAAAGATGCAACAAATGAATTATCAGATCTTCAGAATTTGGATCAACTGCTTAATATCTATGCTCAAACATTGCTAGATATTTCTGACTTTAACATACATTTAACCAATCTTGAGCCCTGGCAGATTTTAGCCCATACAAGTTCTGCAAGTAATTTTCAGGCAAGGAATGCAATCAAGAAACCATTTCCAAACTATTATTATTTAACAAAAAAAGTAAAAAGGTTCCAATTCTTCAGGGTTTTCTATCAGGAAGCGTCAGTCACTTGATAATGTCGGAATTCTTTCACTTTTCCTTTGCCATTGCTTACATTTATTAAATCAACAGCTTTCAGAACTATCTGCTGATGCAAACACATGGTCAAAACAGTGAATGACAAAATGAAAGTAGGAAGTGTGAAACATGCCAACAGTCTCACTTCGTGCTGGCATAGTGTATGAATCGACCTTCAAATGAATGTGTGTCATTGTGTCATGCAGTGTCCCCTACCGCTGACGTGCTACATGACACATGTCACTGATCATGCACTCTTTATCATGCAAGTCTGAGTGTGTATTTTCTGTGCAGACTCTTAATGGACAAAAAGCAGGCCCTTTTCAACTACTTTTCAACAATAACATTCAAATTTTCAAGAAATCCCACTTACTTATTATTTCATCTAAAGCAACAACCATAGAAATTCAACACATTGACAGAATGTTAGAAACCAAAGACTAGTTGGTAGCTGGTTCTCTTACTAATCACTGGAAATTCATTGTATAAATCAAATTGTCTCAATGGATTTTAAGGGCATTTCAAGCACTTCCAAATCATCAGGTAAGCACCATTCACTAAAATCCTGTGAATGTAAGCACTTTCCAAATCAAAGCACACCTGACTATGGGTGCATCAAGAATGAGACCTAGACTCCTAAAACATACAAATGGATCTCCAACATGAAATTATATACATTCAACCTTATTGCAATGCTTCAACACTCAATGTATGTAACTGATATATCTTGCAAAATGCTTGAAAAACAATTCCACATGTTCATGATATTCACAATATCTGTGAAAAAAAAGAAAATGAAATTGTAAACAAAGATGTAAATACCTTCATAAACAAGATCTCTTTGTGTTTGTGGCAGTTTGATCCTTGTGTTGTATGTGGGCAGCTTCCCTTCTATACTTGCATGGAACTGGAAACACAACAGAAAGGATGTAACAAAGTAACATACCCTTTAAAGATACAACAATCATAGTCTCTTGTTTGCATCACAAAGTGTGATGTGTGTCTACATCTTGTTACAGAGTACCAGCAATAACAAAAGCTAGAAGTGAATGTAGTTTAACTGCAGCAAATTTCCAGCAATAACCCAGTGACCTGTATCTCACAAGCCAGTGACAAGTACCTTACCACTAGATCCTTTTTAGTCAATAATGTATTACAAAAAGCAAACATTTTTGGGAACTAATTCTACCCCAGAATCTAACACTAGGAAAGTAAGTAAAGACTAGTGATAAGTTCCCATTCAACTTTTTGATAACATTAGAAATGATGTCCTCTTGTCTCAGTACCAACTGCAAGTTGTCATTTCAGCAACTCACCTCCTCCTCCTCCATCTGTTTCAGGGTCTCATTCAAATCTTTTCCATCAAGCTCCTCAAGGAGTTTGAGTAGCTTCTCTTCTGATGTCGACAACTGATCCAGTACATACTCATCAGACGAGGCATTGATCTGGGCTGTCGGAACGTGGCCTTTACTCTGTGTGATGAAGAGGGAAAGGTAGAGTGAGTGAGTGAGTGAGTTTGGTTAACCCTGCTTTGAACAATGTTTCAGTTATATCATGGCATGTCAGCTTGATGTGTGGTGTACAGAGTGCAGTCATATCACATCCATATTTACAACATCCTTACTTATATGCGGCAAGATCTCAGCTGAATGTTTACCTACATAAACAAGGTAACAAAAAACCTTTAGAATACTTAATGAATGCCTCCTTCATTAAGACCTGTTCAGTCCAAGTCATGTATGGTGATGGGGGTCATTACTCACAGCCTTCAGGTGGTGTAGTTTATCAGCCAGATGCTCCACGCCAGCCTTGACCTGCACCAGGATCTTGCTGCCCCTCTGCAGATTCTGATCTCCATCATCACGTCGGTTCTCCTCCTTGGACAGGTGTGCTTCGAACTCCTCTAGAACAGCCTGCCCACTGGAATTGAAACATGCTAGTGTCAAATCTGCAGACATCATACACACACGATAGTGGCACAAAGATGTAAACACACTGAGATAACAGTAGGACAATGCAGTGCATAAACGGTGTGTAGGGATGGAGAAATGAAAAGAGTGTGTTTATATTTTGATATTTTCATAATAAACACTCAAATGATTTGAATCTAAAGCAATGCTCAATTTTACTGCAGGAAACGATCAACCTTTGCCGGACCGTACATCTCAAGACTGAGATGTTTTGCAACCACTGCAGTTGTTTCCCCTTTCAACAGGTGGAGTTTATCCAGATCAATATAATTCATAAATTTTGGCCTATAATTATTTGGTGTTTTGTTAACATGGAGACTTCAATTATTTAAACATACTATCTCAGGACAATTAAGAAACTCATTTTTTTTTTTAAAACACATTACCATGTTTTGACTTGAATGTATTAAGTCACACCTAGATCTATGTAAACTCAAGAAAGTAATATATGTAAAGCCTCGTTCTAATTGTGACAGATTTATCACTCGTGTGTAGATTTTTCGGTAACAACCGAACACAGTGGTTAATCCTCTATATCACTGCATTGTCCTGACTGCCTACAGTGATGAGATCTGCCATTTAAACTACCAGTTCACTTTATGATCATGGAGTTTATTATGAAGATCTAATCTGCTCCAGAATACACTTGCCTTGAAAGCTTGGCTTCTCCTGAATACTTCATCTCCTCAAACTCCTGCTTGAGTTTCTCCTTGTCGTCACGGAAATGGATGATGGTCCTCTCATTGTCCTTCTTGAGATCCTCCAAGTGCTGAGTGGTGTGGCCTTGACTCTGGAAGCGCTCAACCACCTCCTGCAACCTCCACATAAATGACATGCAGACAGACACACAGCAAAACATGAGAAGTTGTTTTACCACGATTTGGAACAAAACTCAAATTTACAGCATTATTGAATACAGATGCAAGAATTTTAACGAATACTTCTCTGTGCTAAAATAATTACTTGTATATTCAGATGTTTGTTTACATAGTTAACATTCAACAAGTGAACAGGATATGAAAATATATTTCACAAATATGAAAGAAACTAACCTAGAATGCATAAGAACCCAAATATAATGAAAGCTTACAGTTCATGGTTCCTGCATATTGGGATAAACTATTCAGACTGTGAGCCTCGCAGGCTACTCACCATAGTGTCCGAAACGCCAGTGGCCTCCTTGATCCGCCTGAAGGCCTCCTCGTACGTGGTGATCTTCTGCTGGTGCTCCTCCCCAGTCAGTGCTGCCTTCTCTGTGCCTGCCAGCTCGTCCCCCTGTACCGAGCCACGCTGTGCCTACACAGACAGGAAACATAAGTTAACAAGACAACTGGGAACATGTGCTGAAAGTGATGACATTAGGCTCTCGGCACACCATAAGTAATATCAACACACAGATTAGAGAAGCTGTGGCTTCAGGTTCACAGAGAACATGTTTGTATATTTAGTCCTGAACCAACTACAGTTTTACTAAACATGTTTCCATTTGTTTTGATTTAATAAAGACATGTAACATGATAAACAATCAAAGATTCTTGTACCAGTCTCTTCTCTATTCTCTCATGCTGCATCTTCTTCTCCTCAGCCTCCTTCTTCATCTTTTGTAGTTCAATCTCCCTCTTCTTCCTCTCACCATACACAATTTCCTCCTGTTTCTTCAGCTCATTCTGAGCTGAACTCTTGGCATTCTCAGCATCATTATTCATGGCCTTCAGGTCCTTGAGCTCTGCCTTTGTCTTGGCAATCTCCTGCTCCATCTGGTCCAATCGTGTTGGGTAGGTCTGGGCCTCCTGCAGGTACAGTTATTATCATTATTATCATTAGTTTGTTTGTTTGGCAGCAGCATGTAAATAATTCATTCTGAACCAGACAAACCAGTGATTTGATATTTTGAGCAATGATCCACACAATACAGGGCATGATGACACTAAAACAGCCCAAGTCAAAGTACAGGAGACATATTAAGAGGAAATGTGCACAGAGATAAACGAATGATATTTAACTCCCTTCTTGGTCAATTTCCAGAAACAGTATCTGCATACACTAACAAATTATGTCATTGACACAAAAACACTGCCATTTAACTCGGCAATAAATGACTTTTCAATTCAGAGTGACGCCTCATATATTTTCTCGATGCTTATCTATTATCATGTGAAAAAAGAACCTGTCCCACTTTTTCAGATTTGTAATACTTAATCCAAGTTTGGAGTAATATATCAATAACCTAAGACAGAATAAAGTAAACTCTTTACCTCAGCAAACTTGGATTTGATCTCACAGTAGACTCTCCGGACTTGTTTCGCCTCCTCACACTTCATGATGATCTTGTCATAGGAGTTCTCTAGGTAGCGCATTGTCTGCAAACAGAGAAATGGAGGACTAACACTTCATGATTAGCTCTACATAAAACAGTTGAAATGATATAAAGTTGTCATGATGAATACTGTTATAAGCTCTTTCACTAAATACATTGTTGTGGTATACTGTTCAAGCATCTTTGTGTGAATGACAGCTGACTAAGAAAACGGGTAATGTACTGTTGTTTGCAATATAATGTGATGAGACAATTGACAAGTTGTTGACGGGTGAGCAATGGTCCAATGGTAGGCTGAATCACATTTCCGGGTGGTTTCATTCACGCAAATAAAACTCTTGCAAATGATAAAAACTAAAATATAGGTATCCTTCACTGAAAATCCATGGAACCATAAAGGCATATTTGAGATTCACTTATTTTTCTTGCTTAAACATATTTTATTCACAAAAAGTGAATGGGATTGGATACAAATTCTTCAACTTAGGAAACCTTCCCCCATTTATTACTCACTGCACAGAGAGGAACTCTTATCTACTATCAACAGTATCACACAAGAGGCACCAAGAATTGGCATCACAAATTGTAGCATGTGTAACATGTAATCCAGGAGTTTGACAAACACTATTAGCCCAAGGCTCCTGTAATAATAATAATAATAATAATAGGCCCTTTATATTGCACTATTTCCACACCACACAGGGGCAAGCTCAAAGCGTTATTATTACCCCAGTCACTGGATCAGTTTGCACTCAAGAATCATTCTCAGCTCCCTGGAGAGTATACCACCTAAGCTGCCTGTTAGGCACTAGAAGGTTAACAACTACATTGCCATCTCATCCTACCAGGTACCCATTCACTGCTGGGTGAACAAACGCACATTTTGAACAAAGTCACTTGCCCAAGGAGACACCACATGTGTTACTGTGCTTCAGTATGGGGCAGGACCAAAGCCCTAGAAACTCTCAGGAGCCAAGCTGCCAAAACGTGGTCACCCATCCAAGGACTCTCTACAACCGACGATGCTTAACTTCACCTAATTTTGTGACCCGTGCTCTGTGCATAGGAACACGTGCCACCACATCTGCCATGCTGCCTACCTGGGCCTCATGGGAATCTCCCTTGTCTGTGGCAACAGCATCCGAGGAGTCTTTCACAAGGATGTTGTACTGGGTCTGTGCTTCCTCCAGCCTCTTCTGCTTCTGAGCTGTTTGATGGCGCAGTGCATTCAGGCGCTTCATGGAGTCTGACACTTTGTGGTCATAAATTATAATGGCCTCCTGTAGAGATGCAGTAATAAAGCATGATTGGAAACATTCATAGCCGAAAAACAAACATATTCTGAATCTCTCATAAACCAAAAATAGAAGTATCAACACAATACCAAACTGTTCAGATTTCAGTCTAAAAACTACAAATGTTCATAAACAAGTAAGTAAAAAACTTTCCCGTTCAATCTTTCAGCAGCATTTTGACAAGATATAACATGCTCAAAACAGCTAAAAGGGACTCTACTGGGACATCAGGGAAAGATTAAATTTTGTTTATTTCTTTTTTAACATGGCACTGAGCAATATTCCAGCTGTATGACAGTGATCTGTAAATAATTGAGTCTGGAGCAGACAATCCAGTGATTGATATCATGAGCATCAATCTTCTCAATTGATAAAATGGTTAAAGTATGTTTGTTTGTTGTTTACCGCTGCACTCAGCAATATTTCAGCAATATGACAGTGGTCTGTAAATAATCAAGTCTGTACCTGACAATCCAGTGATTGACATCATGAGCATCGATCCACGCAATTGGGATACAATGACATGCATCAGCCAAATCAGCAAGCCTGGCCACCAGATCCCGTTTGGCGGCTTTTAGTACAAGCACAGATTGACATATCACATCATATGCATATGAAATATTCCCCTCTAAAATACATGTACCAGTAGGTAGGTAAATGTATGAAACACTTAAACACTGAAGAGTCTATAAACATATAATGTAGAAGACTAACATACTAGGAAATTATGAACCTACCCTGCCTGTCTTGCTGGAGAGTGCTGCTCTCATGACGGGTTTGTCATTGAGGGCTCTGTCGATAACATGTTCATCTTGCTGTAATACAAAACCAAATGTGTCACACCAGTATATATATCAAATCTTTAAGATCTTTCACATTCAAAAAGTATCTAAAACAACATCCAAGAACTATGACTTCCATGTCATCAGGTCATCTAATACATATATATAGATATACTTTACTGAATAGAAATATGAATGTCAAGAGGCTGTTATTTCCATGGCTTTAGCAGAATGTGTTCCAATGAGTGTAGAAAGCTGCAGTACCTTGAGTTTGTCACTTCGTCTCTTTCTCAGCTCTGTTGTTTCTTTGCGGAGATTTGCTATGCCATCTCGATTCTGTTTCATACAATACTGCGAGGATTCATAGTAAGCCTTGCGGTCACCCTCTGAAGCAAGAAATTGCAGAACATAAATGAAATACTGTAAGTTGGGTCGGAGTGGTGTGGATTCTTGATTTTGTCTGCTTTAACATTTTAATCTAAGTACTACATAAAGGTTTCATCCTAAAATTAGAAATATGGTGTCGACTACTCTATGTTCAGCCTTAATTAAGAAAACAGTGCAATCATCTGATAAATTTTCCTATTTTATTTAGGTGAGAAGTGATAGAAGTCTCTACGCTCATCACTAACCAACTGTACACAACTTTTCCATTTTGACTTGACCTCAAAATACTTTAGCCAATATATGTAGCTGTATATACAGTTTATCACTCACACACCCTTATAGTCCATATGCTTTTATTTTGCACTTTTTGAACACACTACTAATAGTCGGATCCATTTAGGAATCAGGACTAGCCTATATTACTACGCTAGTTCTTAGCAAATATGCTGAGCGCAAATGATCTGTCACTTTATTCATTAACTCAATTGTTGTTACTTCACAAGTACGAAATACTATATTATGTCAACTAATTACTGAAGATTAATATTCTTGCATCAATTTGACGTTGGAAGTGTTGTATCTAATTAACGTTTAGGCAAGTAAAGCTTTAAATAATTTTGTTTACAAATCAACATGTCCTAATATTAACGCTCACCTAACAAGGCGATTTTAGCCTTTAGTTCTTCAATCTGTTCAGTTATAGGACGCTGTGCTAGTGTGGTACCCCCAGGCATCTTGGCAGTTGCAAGGGTCGCGGTATTTCCTCAAATGACTCCTATACTGTGCACCCCCTGTTTATCAGACTAAGCAACTATCAACAACATGGACGATGCTGTAACCAAACGTCGTCAAGGTGCCCGATGCCACGCATGCGTAATGCGCGAAATTAATAGAAGGGAGGTAATTCTAATTTCCTTGCAGGTGCGACAGCGTGTAAACTGATCAAAGCGCATGTAAAATACTTTCCACACGCCGTTCTTGCAATATACATTCCTAAAAATGTAACATTTTCATTCACACAGTACAGGTCTATTTGATTTTGTACGCTCATATTTGTATTAAAGGAATATCCTGGAATTAATGAAGAACATTTGTTAAGGATGCAGCTGTCGTAAATCGTGGACATGAAACTCATTTTGTATGGCACCATATTGACAAACAAAACATTTCCTTTGCTCGTTCGATTACCGAGCCGTTTCAATTTCTACATTGAAAGAACCCACCGAAACGTTATAACATATTTTGATAGTAATACTCGAATTCTTGAATCGTGATTGACAATAGAATTAACTGTATGAATAGTGTGACATTTTAGAGCTTGAAGATAAAACCTGTGTGCCAATCCTATATAGAAAACTGTCCTCAAGATGTTGTAAGGCGGAACGTGACAAATCCTATCAAAAAAATACTATTATGGAGTTGTGTTAGTTCCAACCTCTTAGCGGGAGGAAAATACGTGATGTGTTTGAACTTTTGGGAATGGGTGATTCTAGCAGTAGATGCAATCAACACTTTATGCAACGTTTGACTGCAAACGTGAACATACAGAATCCATCGTATTCCCCTAAGACAGCATTATTTGACGAAGCGCACTTCACATTCAAATACCGCGTGCAAGTCTGAAGATGTACATTTTCAATTTAAATGCAGCCTAACATTCCAAATATTTTTCAACCATATAGAAGCATTTAAGTGGTTTCCCGAATATTATATAAAAAATTGAACATTGAAGTGCATCAGGCTTCAGACCATTTAGTCTAGATTTGCTGCTGACATTCACTGCTAGGAATAAATAATCACGTCAACGTGGGATCCTATGTGAGCCACTTCTGAAACGTGTTTATCGTCCACCATTTTTATATCAGCTGTCATTGGACAGGGTGGTCAGGCTCGGCGGTTTGTTGATTGCATCGTATCCAGGCGGCGTGGTCACTGCTGGACGTTGCTGATAACATGGGTATTACAGGCCACCTTCAGCTGACTGTGGCTTAAAACCAGGTGAGGTGAAATGGGGTTTAACGTCACGTTCAAGATTATTGCACTTACACAGCGACGTGCATGTACGTGTGTGTGTGTGTGTGTGTGTGTGCGCGCGCGTGCGTGCGTGCGTACGTGCGTGTGTGTATGTGTGTGTGCGTGCGTGTGTGTGTGTCTGCTTTTACTAGTCCGGACTAATGCCGATTTCATAGTGCTAGCTCACTGAGATACCATACCGCAGTTTAATATGAACACCCCTCTCAAACACAGTATACTGACTCCGAGCCGACCAGTCCTTGTTTTAGCCCCTTAATGCCGAGCACCAGGCAGGGTAACAACTAGTGCCATCTTTTAACGTCTTTTGGTATGACGGGGCCGGGGATCGAACCCCGGAACTTCCGCTCTCCGGGCGGACGCTCTACCACTAGACCTCGGAGGGGTGGCTTAAAACAAACAGTGTTGAACCTACGTCTTCAGTTTCTTCTGCTGATACATGGATAACAAAAGCTGTAACAAACACGAACTATACATACACCCTTGCTGCACACCAGTGGCACAATGAAGTCGGGTACCTGGTATGTGTAAGATTGACCTGAAAATGTTACGTTACCATATACAGGCCTACCAACGATAAAACTAACGTGTTTAAAAACATAGAAATATGTATGTAATTATCTATTTTGCACGCTATAGGCAAGCAGAAATATGAGTCGACAATGCATTTAGAAAACGACGGGTAAGCAACAGTTGGAGTATATATCGTCGTTTTCTGAATACATTGTTGACTCATATTTCCGCTTGTCGATAGTGTGCAAAACAGACAATTACATACACATTTCTATGTTTCTGAAAACACGTTGTCTTTGGTAGGTCTGATACAATGACTGTTAATTACCACCTGTAGTACCTAAACCGTGTTTGTTAAATAAATCCCTGTCATATTTCCTTCACTGGATCAAAGTATACGAAAAATGTATAAAGTCTTTATAGAATTTACGTATTTTACAATAAAGTTAAAAGTATTTCATACTAATTGTCGATTCTAAAAGAAATGACATACAATGAATCAGCCCAAATTCTGATCCATTGCTGTTGTTTTGTAAGAGAATAGTGGTTTACCAGGTATAGGAGCCAATCTCACCCTCCACCTACAATAAGCCCTTCCACGTTGATAGTGTGTTCCCGCCATTGTCGATGTGTAGTTTACTACCGTCAGTCTGTAGTACCATAGTTGCTCCTGATGTACGATGTGTATACGATAGCATACAGTATATTTTATTCATGTCGTCAACCAGTGTACATATCAGCCGATACTCGAAATCGATATATCAACATGACAAGGGCAGATATTCTGGAGCTTATATTATATAAACCTAAAGGTGTTTACAAATCACTCAGCGCATATTTTGAACGAGCGGGTGAATCGGATTTACTGACGCTTTGAACAGTATCTCAGAACGTTCATGCCGCACCAGCTTACCGTGGGAGGAAACTTGTCTTGTTACCAGTTGACGTAATTAATAGCCTTCTTATGAGACTTTCATTTGTAGTGTACCGTACACGTCAAACATACAGATACTCTATTGTTGCCAAATCTTGTCATTTCCATAACGCCGCGATTCGCTGTGCAGAGTTGCGTCCCTTGGGCACAACAGAAACCTATGATTGTGGGTTCGAATCCCGGTTCGCCCCGATTATGTTTCTAGGTTTGTCAGCACCATACCCTCGTGGGTTTCACCGAAGTGGTAAACGTCTGAGACCTGCATCACTTCGGGCTTTCCCCCAACATTAAGCTGACACGCCGTGATATAACTGGAATACTGTTAAAAGCGGCGTAAAACCCAACTCACTCACTCACTCATTTCCATAACCTAGCACCCTTACATTCCACGGACGTTATTTTGATAAAACAAATTCAGTGGGTGACAAGTAAATGTAAACTCTCCCAAAAAGTAGGGGATATTTTGAAAATAACAGATTATTCTAGAAATACAAGGTACCGAGTGATGGTAATGGGTGAAAAGAAAAGGGAAGGCAAGGTGTTACAACAGAAATCAACAGATATAGTAGCGGTATATTGTAAAGGCTTAAACAAACAGGGATGTGCAGTCAAAACGTGAACGTCTGAGAAGACTTGATCAACAATGTAGCATGTCCCCACGATAGCTAAAATAATCCGTGTATATTGCGTGGCATGGTCCGTATCAGTCTACCCATGACAATTTCAGAGTCTTGTACACGTCTTGCAGAGACTGGCCTCAATTCGGCTAAAGTAGCGTGTCCCAGAAGTGCCCTGCAGGGAGTCAGGATGCATGATTGGCCACTGCATTCTGGTTATGTTCTGCTGTCGCATGTAGGAAGTAGTCAGTCCCTTCCCATATCATTGCAGACCCACCTCCAAATCTGTCATATTACCTTACGTTGACGTTCACGTGACGTTAGTTAGGACACCTTCAGACACGTCCACGCCTATCATCTGAACTCTTTACCTGAGACCAGTTTCTACGCTCTAAACACCATTGGCTAGAATGTGTCGCTATGTTAACGATGCTACAACACAAGGTCGCCGGGCACGCAGACGTTTTCTAATTGGTCAGTAACTTGAACTACGCTGGCCGGGCACAAATGAACAGCGATTTCTTTTAGATTTTGTACCGAGATTAGATATTTTCTCAGCGTCAGCTGTAAAACCAGGTATTTTTTATTTATTTAACTACGAGTCTGAATCTTTATTTAAAAAAACAACACCTTGGAACAACGTTATTGTTGTCGCAGGCAATTTCTTTTTTTTTAAACATCTGAAGCATAACTATTTCTTTCAAGGATTTTATTATCTTTGATAAATCCCTGCCCCGGAAACTATATATAAGGTGAGTGAGTGTCAAGTAAATGTTTATAAAGTGAGTAAATGTTAATTAATGTGTCAGTAAACAATGAAACGGCAATATAACATTAGAAATTCACTAACTACATTGAAATAACACTCTTGATATTTGAAGCTGCAGTTTGGATGAGAGTGGTTGGTTGATGTATGTCCATTTGGCAATATGACAGTTGACCAATTCCAACAACACTCACTAGTTGGCCATTATACTCAGTTGGTAAATGTTTCATATGACCTCAGTCAGAAGTGGGTTTATGTGTCACATGACCTCAGTCAAAAGTGAGTTATCGTGTCGCATGACCTCAGTCAGAAGTGGGTTTATGTGTCCTATGACCTCAGACAGAAGTAGGTTTATGTGTCCTATGTCCTCAGTCAGAAGTGGGTTTATGTGTCCTATGTCCTCAGTGAAAAGTGTGTTGTATGACCACAGTCAAAAGTGTGTTGTATGTCCTCAGTCAGAAGTAGGTTTATGTGTCCTATGTCCTCAGTCAGAAGTGGGTTTATGTGTCCTATGTCCTCAGTGAAAAGTGTGTTGTATGACCACAGTCAAAAGTGTGTTGTATGTCCTCAGTCAGAAGTAGGTTTATGTGTCCTATGTCCTCAGTCAGAAGTGGGTTTATGTGTCCTATGTCCTCAGTGAAAAGTGTGTTGTATGACCACAGTCAAAAGTGTGTTGTATGTCCTCAGTCAGAAGTAGGTTTATGTGTCCTATGTCCTCAGTCAGAAGTGGGTTTATGTGTCCTATGTCCTCAGTGAAAAGTGTGTTGTATGACCACAGTCAAAAGTGTGTTGTATGTCCTCAGTCAGAAGTAGGTTTATGTGTCCTATGTCCTCAGTAAGAAGTGGGTTTATGTGTCCTATGTCCTCAGTGAAAAGTGTGTTGTATGACCACAGTCAAAAGTGTGTCCTTTGTCCTCAGTGAGAAGTGGGTTTATGTGTCGTATGACCTCAGTCAGAAGTGGGTTTACCTGTCGCATGACATCAGAAGTGGGTTTATGTGTCGTATGACCTCAGTCAGAAGTGGGTTTACCTGTCGCATGACCTCAGTCAGAAGTGGGTTTACCTGTCACATGACCTCAGTCAGAAGTGGGTTATCGTGTCACATGACCTCAGTCAGAAGTAGGTTTATGTGTCCCATGTCCTCAGTCAGAAGTGGGTTACGTGTCGCATGACCTGTCAGAAGTGGGTTTACCTGTCGCATGACATCAGAAGTGGGTTTATGTGTCGTATGACCTCAGACAGAAGTGGGTTTATGTGTCGCATAACCTCAGTCAGAAGTAGGTTTATGTGTCATATGACCTCAGAAGTGGGTTTATGTGTCGCATGACCTCAGTCAGAAGTGGGTTTATGTGTCGCATGACCTCAGTCAGAAGTGGGTTTACGTGTCGCATGACCTCAGAAGTGGGTTTACCTGTCGCATGACCTCAGTCAGAAGTGGGTTTATGTGTCGTATGACCTCAATCAGAAGTGGGTTTATGTGTTGTATGACCTCAGTCAGAAGTGGGTTTATGTGTCACATGACCTCAGTCAGATGTGGGTTTACCTGTCGCATGACCTCAGTCAGAAGTGGGTTTATGTGTCGTATGACCTCAATCAGAAGTGGGTTATGTGTCGCATGACTTCAAACAGAAGTGGTGCATGCTCATACAAACAATCGTCACAAACCTTAACCTTTCAATTAGGAAAGGATTGTCCGTGAACTCAATGAATAAAGAAAATTAATTGCTATAATTAATCTACGAAAATAATGCAGAAAAAAAGACTAACACATTCTTAGAATACTTATTTCATTTTAATATCTTATTATAATCATACAAAGAACTATCATAAAACACCTCATCAACAAAGCGAAGGAATGTTACAAGAATGATATCCTTGGCCTTCAGTAATCAATTGCAATTAACAGCTATTTACAAATTGCCTTAATAAATATCCTTATATCTTCCTACCCAATGTCTTAAAAAATAAAAGCGAGTAAGAGTTGACACCACTGTTAGCAATATCCCAGCCCTATGACAGCAGGGGACACCAGCAATGGGCTTCCCACACTGTACCCATGGGGGCAATGAAACCAGGTCAGTCCTTCAACCACTAGGCTCCTCCTGATAGACCAGTACAAGTCCTAGGACAACCCAAATAACAGACAGGTAAGAAGGTTCGCCTTCAATCTTTAGTTCAGAACAGGAAGCCAGAAAAGCTCAATCTAATATAAAGGACAAATTCAAGCTTAGTCAGTTTACAGATTATTTTGATTTAACTTCTTACAAGAGGAAATTAATCATAAGATCTGACCATACAAATAAGTCATGACTGTCCAAAAAAGGTTCTGAGCTGTATTCATTCAACTAGTAATACACATCTCTATGTTGTAAACTTTATCACATGAAGTCCCAATGCAACATTGAATAAGAACACTTAACCTTAACAGACACATCTTCCCGAGGCAAGGCAGTTAACTGACTATAAAAGTCAATTTTCCACCCTTGCCGAACTAGACTGGAATTCCTGGGCTTGATCGTAGTGCCATCTGTGGACCAATCAGATTCCAATTCTCGTATCACTTGCATTTGCATGATACAAAATGGCGGCGCCCAGTCAAGATGATCTGGTCAATAATCAAGATCTATAGTGTTATAAAACGAGTCTTACATCGCAAAGTGCATCAAATCATGTGAGCACCTTGATTAAAAACATAAAAAGATTCAGACAATATCTGTTGACAAGTTGGCGGTGCAGATGCTTTGCAGACCCTGCAATCGACCGAAATCTGCATGACAGTTTACGAAAATGTAACTCCATAATACCAGCCTAGTTCAGCAAGGTTGGAAACTTGACTTTTAAAGTTTTAACTCCCTTGCCTCGGGAAGATGTAACAGACACTGCAAGAACATCCTGACAATAAATACAACATACTACATATTGCACTTTTTCTAACAAGCCGCTAGCATACATACATCAAGTCCACTTGACATCTTAACCCACTACCTCTGAAAGCAGCATGACAGCTCAAATTCAAGTAAAGCATGTGTTCATATTAACTTGCGTGTGAATGGGCAGCCAGGGCTGCTTACTGATGACCCATTGACCTCACAGGGCACTGTCCCCTCAGTCTATTCTCATGCCCTTTCTAATATAAATTATTTATATTCATAAAGAGTATCACAACCATCTATATCACAAAACTGGTGTTGTTGTTTGTTTGTTTGTTGTTTAACGCCGCAATCAGCAATATTTCAGCTATATGACGGCGGTCTGTAATTAATCAAGTCTGGACCAGACAATCCAGTGATTGATATCATGAGCATCGATCCAGGCAATTAGGATTGATGTCATGCATCAACCAAGTGTGGAGTCTGACCACCCGGTCCCGTTAGTCGCCTCTTACGACAGGCAAAGTCACCTTTTACGGCAAGCACGGGTTGCTGAAGACCTGAAACTGGTGTCAATTCAATACACTGATAAGCAGTTTAGGCAAGTAGTTATGTTGTTAGTAGTATATATGCCAGACGGGCAATGGTAGAGTACCCTTAACAGGAAAGCATTCCAGGGTGATCTACTAATCACAGAATACATGAAACTACAGTGCCAACTTTAACATGAGAAAGCTATTAAAAACATTGCAATGTTTTGGTTATGTCTTTCAAAATACAAGTCATGAAGTATGCCCAGGGATTTGTTCACCGTTGTCAGGATAAGTAACTATATACATATAAAATACTTTCCTACATGATTTGATTATGTTAATTGTTTGTCATGGAGGTTTATATATGTATAAAATCACCAACTGTCTTGAATCTAAAATCAATTATTTGTGATTATTAAACAGTATTATTTCATGACATAACTGATATTCATCTGTGGAAGTTACATCTTAGCACCGGTTAAATAAAATGTGGTGCTGGTCTACATTTGGTTTCCATCTTCTCTGCAAATCTCATGACTTAGCACCATTGACAAGAATGATGTTTTTCTTCACCGACACACATCGAGAAGGTACAGGCCCACCAGGAGACTTCTCTGGAGAGATTGGTAACAACCTCTTCCCACGACCTGGGGATATTGTCCACTTGTCAGCACTGATAAACTTTGACACATTCTCCATGAGAGAGATCGTCGCAGAGTTCACTTCCTGTCCAGCATATTCCAACTGTTCGGCTTGAGAATCGGAGAGAACAGACATCTCTTCTAGGTCAGACCCTGAGTCCTTGACGGGCCCTCTGCCCGCTGAGCTCAGCATTCTCAGAGCAGCCTTCTGTATCAGCTCTGCACAGCGGTACACTCGCCGGACATCCCCTCCACTGGTGTCTGCAACATGCACTGGACAATACAACATCCATGAAAGAAGTCAGATCTATACAAGAGTGAGTGAGAGTAACACAGGTGCAGCTGGCTGGACGTGTCTACCAGGCACCAGGTGTCTTACCTTCTAACACAGGTGCAGCTGGCTGGACGTGTCTACCAGGCACCAGGTGTCTTACCTTCTAACACAGGTGCAGCTGGCTGGACGTGTCTACCAGGCACCAGGTGTCTTACCTTCTAACACAGGTGCAGCTGGCTGGACGTGTCTACCAGGCACCAGGTGTCTTACCTTCTAACACAGGTGCAGCTGGCTGGACGTGTCTACCAGGCACCAGGTGTCTTACCTTCTAACACAGGTGCAGCTGGCTGGACGTGTCTACCAGGCACCAGGTGTCTTACCTTCTAACACAGGTACAGCTGACTGGATGTGTCTACCAGGCACCAGGTGTCTTACCTTCTAACACAGGTGCAGCTGGCTGGACGTGTCTACCAGGCACCAGGTGTCTTACCTTCTAACACAGGTACAGCTGACTGGATGTGTCTACCAGGCACCAGGTGTCTTACCTTCTAACACAGGTACAGCTGACTGGACGTGTCTACCAGGCACCAGGTGTCTTACCTTCTAACACAGGTACAGCTGACTGGATGTGTCTACCAGGCACCAGGTGTCTTACCTTCTAACACAGGTACAGCTGACTGGACGTGTCTACCAGGCACCAGGTGTCTTACCTTCTAACACAGGTACAGCCGACTGGATGTGTCTACCAGGTGTCTTACCTTCTAACACAGGTACAGCTGACTGGATGTGTCTACCAGGCACCAGGTGTCTTACCTTCTAACACAGGTACAGCCGACTGGATGTGTCTACCAGGTGCCTTACCTTCTAACACAGGTGCAGCTGGCTGGACGTGTCTACCAGGCACCAGCTGTCTTACCTTCTAACACAGGTACAGCTGACTGGACGTGTCTACCAGGCACCAGGTGTCTTACCTTCTAACACAGGTACAGCTGACTGGACATGTCAACCAGGCACCAGGTGTCTTACCTTCTAACACAGGTACAGCTGACTGGATGTGTCTACCAGGTGCCTTACCTTCTAACACAGGTACAGCTGACTGGATGTGTCTACCAGGCACCAGGTGTCTTACCTTCTAACACAGGTACAGCCGACTGGATGTGTCTACCAGGTGCCTTACCTTCTAACACAGGTACAGCTGACTGGACGTGTCTACCAGGCACCAGGTGTCTTACCTTCTAACACAGGTACAGCTGACTGGATGTGTCTACCAGGTGTCTTACCTTCTAACACAGGTACAGCTGACTGGATGTGTCTACCAGGTGCCTTACCTTCTAACACAGGTACAGCCGACTGGATGTGTCTACCAGGTGTCTTACCTTCTAACACAGGTGCAGCTGACTGGATGTGTCTACCAGGTGTCTTACCTTCTAACACAGGTACAGCTGACTGGATGTGTCTACCAGGCACCAGGTGTCTTACCTTCTAACACAGGTACAGCTGACTGGATGTGTATACCAGGCACCAGGTGTCTTACCTTCTAACGCAGGTACAGCTAACTGGATGTGTCTACCAGGTGTCTTACCTTCTAACACAGGTACAGCTGACTGGACATGTCAACCAGGCACCAGGTGTCTTACCTTCTAACACAGGTACAGCTGACTGGATGTGTCTACCAGGTGCCTTACCTTCTAACACAGGTGCAGCTGACTGAATGTGTCTACCAGGCACCAGGTGTCTTACCTTCTAACACAGGTGCAGCTGACTGGACATGTCTACGAGGTGTCTTACCTTCTAACACAGGTACAGCTGACTGGATGTGTCTACCAGGCACCAGGTGTCTTACCTTCTAACACAGGTACAGCTGACTGGATGTGTCTACCAGGTGTCTTACCTTCTAACACAGGTGCAGCTGACTGGATGTGTCTACCAGGCACCAGGTGTCTTACCTTCGAACACAGGTACAGCTGACTGGATGTGTCTACCAGATGTCCTACCTTCTAACACAGGTACAGCTGACTGGATGTGTCTACCAGGTGTCTTACCTTCTAACACAGGTACAGCTGACTGGACAAGGAGACTTGCTGTGTCTACCAAACTGTTGATGTGAGACAAGAGGGCTTGAGATCGTCGGAAGCTTGTCTGGTAGAAGTGCGGTAAGTGAGAGTCGGAGCTGTCTCGCATGCTTGTGTCCAGCTCAATCTGGAGAATGAAACAATAAGTAGCAACCATTTAATTACATTACATATACTGGTAATGACATTAATTATTTGCCTAAAATTCATCTTAAAATATAGGTCCCCTATTTCTTTATGTCAATTCTGAAAATTAATGCAAGTCTACACAATTATTCTCAAGACGTAACAAAAAAAGCACAATTTATTTTCCTTTTCTTAAAACATACACGATTTTAATTCAGATCCCATCCACTGAGAACAGCTGAGCTTATCCCAATAATATTACTGTCAGCCAATGTGTTTTTAATTAATGATCACTAATTTGTTCTTATTTCTTCCAGGACTCACTTGTTGATCAAATTTGGTGTAAGAAAATTTGGTACCTGAATTTCTTGACACTTCTGCAGCAAAACTTTGTTGGTTGAAACAACAATTTCTATGTGCTGGGGTAGATCACCATATTTCTGAAAGAATAAGTTAACATGGGCTGTCAGAGAGTCTCTCGATGCTTCATGCTGCTGCAAGGACTCACAAGAGTGCTTCACAGGACATCAATGCCTCATACAGTGCTAAAGATCTTTTGCAGCATATGTAGTCTTATATTTATAACCAACAGAGTGTATATCTGCATAGAACAGTATTCGTCTGTATACACAGCTATTATGAGGAACACAAAGTGTTTAATAATCATATCGTTTTTCATCAGATATGTTTTGAAGCAACCCGTGGTCATACTAAAATAGCCGATGGATATCAAAAACTATGTCTTACGGTGCCTACAAGGCTGCATTATCTGTTCTTTACTGTATATTTAAGCTTCAAGTATTAAGATCAGTTCAGGTTGGGGGGCGTACCAGACTTGTGACGGCTTGGTCTGCCAGAGCTTGTGCTCGACACTCGGTCTCCTCGAGGGACTGAACGCCATCTTGTAGGGACCTGTCCACGTGGGAGTCCCCTCCAGACAGGAACGCCTGGCAGACGTCATGAGCCAGCTGACAAAAATCAACATCAGCAGCATATCAGTAAACAATCATCATCATCATCATCAGCACCAGCAGCAGTAGGATTTGTCTGGAATCAGGGCTCTGACTCTTGCAACTGTCTGTGTAACTGTGGGGAACTTGTAATGGCTTTCAGAAAATTACTGTGTATTATCATATTGATGCTTGAAGGCGAGGAGAGGTGAAATAGGGTTTAACGTCGCGTTCAAATGATTGTTCTTATATAGCAACGCACGGTGTGCGTGTGTGCGTGCATACCCTGATCAGACACAGTATACGGACTCCGAACCAACCAGTTCTTGTTTTAGCCCCTTTAATGCCAAGCGCCAGGCAGGGTAACAACAAGTATCATCTTTCAAAGTCTTTTGCTATGACACGGCCCGGGATCGAACCTGCGACATTCCGCTCTCCCAGCACACTCTATCACTAGACCAAGAAGGCGGTCTGTCGATGCTTGAATGTGTGCCTGTTATCTCGTTAACGGTAAAGTCAGTGGTATTGGGAACAATTTGGGTTGTTATTGAGATTTATGTCAAAATTCTGCCGTTGAACAAAATGTTCACTAGGAATTGTCTGATAAACAGAGAATCTCCCCTGAGTGTCTTTTAATATACAATATATCAACACGAGTTGATAAAAGTGTAAAAACTCTGAGGCTTGCCAAGCGCTATCTCCTGTTGGAGCCAGTTTGGGATGTATGTCTGACAGAACAGTGAGTGAGTGAGTGAGTGAGGGTATGGATGGGGACACCAGGAATAAGCATCTCATGTAGCTCTCTGGGAGATCGAGGCTGGACCTTCATTGTGACATAGTAGTTACTGGTCTGCCCTACCACCTCTGTAGGACAGGGAAAATATGAACATTCCTGAGATTTTACACTATCGCAGACACTGTTATGACAATATCTGCAAGGAGAGTTACCTGTTGATGTCGATGTTCCCCTTGGACGTCAAACGATGTCATGTGAGTGTCTGTGACCAGTGCAATCTCCCCGCACTGCCGACACATCTTGATGACACTGTCGATGATCTTCATCCCCGACTCTTGGACCATACTGCGTAGTTCATTTTCACAACCCTATAGGGAAACAAAGAGTATGATTGCAAGATGCTCAAGATCTACTGTTTTTTTCTGGCCTGCAAATACACATGACTGGACTGGACAAAACAGTGAATGATATTATGAGAACGTTCTACTCAGTGAAGTGAAGATGAAGCAAAAGGTATTGTCTTCCAGGTGTGATCCTACAGCTTCGTGGCCAGGAAGATGGTAACAGTGTCGATGTACCGTCAAAGACGCTCAGTGATTTTGCATGAGACAAAGGGCATTATGACATTTTCATTAACTGATCAACTTTTGATTGGACGTTCTTCTATACCTAATGGAAAATATTTCGGACATTTTGAACGACACTCTGCGAATGTACTAGAAAATGAACTGATCTGAAAACCCTGACATATCCCCATGTTACGTACACAGTCCCTATTTTGATATAAGCAGAATTTCTGCCAAGACTCATTGAAGCAACTAGCCTAAAATGTGTTTGATAGGCATTACTTAGAAGTTGTCGGATGACAAAGTAGAGATAATTTATGGATAAACAACTTTTTTATTTACTGTAAAGGCGACATTTCGGCATGGATCCTTATACTGTTGTCAAGCTGTTTATGCATAAATTATCTCTACTTTGCCGGCCTAAAATTTGCTAGCTGACGTACAGGAAGATAATCTGTGTGATTATTAGCAGTAATGCTGTGTGCTTCAAAGAGCAAGAAGGCTGTAACCTCGAGCATTGTGCTACTGCAATGCCGATGAACCTCAGATTCTTACTACAATCAAACATGGCATACACATTCAGGATAGAAATGTTTCCACTTCCATTCAGAGCTGTTAAACTTCTGATCATGATGATGATTCAGTAATTTCATTTTTTAAGTTTGCTTTGGTAGATCTAACTAAGACAAAATTGTTATGGATGAGCAACTTCTTTATTACAATTGGGCTCATCCATAACAATTTTGTCTTAGTTACCATTCCAACTTCTAAATGCCACTCAAAGAGGTTTGGTAGATCTGTTAGAAGTTTTTAACTTGCTGCTAACATGACTAAAGGCTTGTGTCATACTGAAGTCTTTCAGCTTCTCACCTGTATAAACATTGCAACATGACCGCTGACTGTCCGAAGCTGTGACACTAGCTGCTGCAGCAGCTCCGTGAGGTTGGATGACTCACATCCCTCATACAGCTGCGCCCACAGACTGCAGCCGGTCGACAGCTGCTGGAGGCACACAGCCAGCTGCAGCAGGTGTCTCTCCTGGCTGTGCAATTCATCTGGAACAGAGACAGAGTCTGTCAGGGATGCTTCTTGTGGCTTGTATGTATGTTGTATCTCAGTTGTGTACATGTTGTATCTCAGTTGTAGATATGTTGTATCTCAGTTGTACACATGTTGTATCTCAGTTGTATACATGTTGTATTTCAGTTGTATACGTGTTGTATCTCAGTTGTACATGTTGTATCTCAGTTGTACATGTTGTATCTCAGTTGTGTACATGTTGTATGTCAGTTGTACATGTTGTATCTCAGTTGTGTACATGTTGTATGTCAGTTGTATACGTGTTGAATCTCAGTTGTACATGTTGTATCTCAGTTGTATACGTGTTGTATCTCAGTTGTACATGTTGTATCTCAGTTGTACATGTTGTATCTCGGTTGTATACGTGTTTTATCTCAGTTGTACATGTTGTATCTCAGTTGTACACATGTTGTATCTCAGTTGTATACGTGTTTTATCTCAGTTGTACATGTTGTATCTCAGTTGTATACATGTTGTATCTCAGTTGTACATGTTGTATCTCAGTTGTATACGTGTTTTATCTCAGTTGTACATGTTGTATCTCAGTTGTATACATGTTGTATCTCAGTTGTACATGTTGTATCTCAGTTGTACACATTTTGTATCTCAGTTGTATATGTGTTGTATCTCAATTGTACATGTTGTATCTCAGTTGTACACATTTTGTATCTCAGTTGTATACGTGTTGTATCTCAGTTGTACATGTTGTATCTCAGTTGTACATGTTGTATCTCAGTTGTACACATGTTGTATCTCAGTTATATACGTGTTGTATCTCAGTTGTATACGTGTTGTATCTCAGTTGTATACATGTTGTATCTCAGTTGTATACATATTGTATCTCAGTTGTACTCATGTTGTATCTCAGTTGTACATGTATCTCAGTTGTACACATGTTGTATCTCATTGTACATGTTGTATCTTAGTTGTACATGTTGTATCTCAGTTATATACATGTTGTATCTCAGTTGTATATGTGTTGTATGTCAGTTGTATATGTGTTGTATCTCAGTTTTATACATGTTTTATCTTAGTTGTACAAATGTTGTATCACAGTTGTACACATGTATCTCAGTTGTACACATGTTGTATCTCAGTTGTATACATATTGTATCTCAGTTGTACACATGTTGTATCTCAGTTGTACATGTATCTCAGTTGTATACGTGTTGTATCTCATTGTACATGTTGTATCTTAGTTGTACATGTTGTATCTCAGTTATATACGTGTTGTATCTCAGTTGTATACGTGTTGTATCTCAGTTGTACATATGTTGTATCTCAGTTGTACACATGTTGTATCTCAGTTGTATATGTGTTGTATCTCAGTTGTACATGTTGTATCTCAGTTGTACACATGTTGTATCTCAGTTGTACATCTTGTATCTCAGTTGTACACATGTTGTATGTCAGTTGTATACGTGTTGTATCTCAGTTGTACATGTTGTATCTCAGTTGTACACATTTTGTATCTCAGTTGTATACGTGTTGTATCTCAATTGTACATGTTGTATCTCAGTTGTACACATGTTGTATCTCAGTTGTATACGTGTTGTATCTCAGTTGTACATGTTGTATCTCAGTTGTACATGTTGTATCTCAGTTGTACACATGTTGTATCTCAGTTATATACGTGTTGTATCTCAGTTGTATACGTGTTGTATCTCAGTTGTATACATGTTGTATCTCAGTTGTATACATATTGTATCTCAGTTGTACACATGTTGTATCTCATTGTACATGTATCTTAGTTGTACATGTTGTATCTCAGTTATATACGTGTTGTATCTCAGTTGTATACGTGTTGTATCTCAGTTGTACATATGTTGTATCTCAGTTGTACACATGTTGTATCTCAGTTGTATATGTGTTGTATCTCAGTTGTACATGTTGTATCTCAGTTGTAAACATGTTGTATCTCAGTTGTATACGTGTTGTATCTCAGTTGTACATGTATCTCAGTTGTACACATGTTGTATCTCATTGTACACATGTTGTATCTCAGTTATATACGTGTTGTATCTCAGTTGTATACGTGTTGTATCTCAGTTGTATACATGTTGTATCTCAGTTGTATACATATTGTATCTCAGTTGTACACATGTTGTATCTCAGTTGTACACATGTTGTATCTCAGTTGTACACATGTTGTATCTCAGTTATATACGTGTTGTATCTCAGTTGTATACGTGTTGTATCTCAGTTGTATACATGTTGTATCTCATTGTACATGTTGTATCTTAGTTGTACATGTTGTATATCAGTTATATACGTGTTGTATCTCAGTTGTATACGTGTTGTATCTCAGTTGTATACGTGTTGTTTCTCAGTTGTACATGTTGTATCTTAGTTGTACATGTTGTATCTCAGTTATATACGTGTTGTATCTCAGTTGTATACGTGTTGTATCTCAGTTGTACATATGTTGTATCTCAGTTATATACGTGTTGTATCTCAGTTGTACACATGTTGTATCTAAGTTGTATATGTGTTGTATCTCAGTTGTACATGTTGTATCTCAGTTGTAAACATGTTGTATCTCAGTTGTATACGTGTTGTATCTCAGTTGTACATGTTGTATCTCAGTTGTGTACATGTATCTCAGTTGTACACATGTTGTATCTCAGTTGTACACATGTTGTATCTCAGTTGTACACATGTTGTATCTCAGTTATATACGTGTTGTATCTCAGTTGTATACGTGTTGTATCTCAGTTGTATACATGTTGTATCTCATTGTACATGTTGTATCTTAGTTGTACATGTTGTATATCAGTTATATACGTGTTGTATCTCAGTTGTATACGTGTTGTATCTCAGTTGTATACGTGTTGTATCTCAGTTGTGTACATGTTGTATCTCAGTTGTGTACAAGTTGTATCTCAGTTGTATATGTGTTGTATGTCAGTTGTATATGTGTTGTATCTCAGTTTAATACATGTTGTATCTCAGTTTAATACATGTTGTATCCCAGTTTAATACATGTTGTATCTCAGTTTTATACATGTTGTATCTCAGTTTAATACATGTATCTCAGTTGTACACATGTTGTATCTCAGTTTAATACATGTTGTATCCCAGTTTAATACATGTTGTATCTCAGTTTTATACATGTTGTATCTCAGTTGTACACATGTTGTATCTCAGTTGTACACATGTTGTATCTCAGTTGTATACATGTTGTATCTCAGTTGTACATGTTGTATCTCAGTTGTACACATGTTGTATCTCAGTTGTACACATGTTGTATCTCAGTTGTACACATGTTGTATCTCAGTTTAATACATGTATCTCAGTTGTACACATGTTGTATCTCAGTTTTATACATGTTGTATCTCAGTTGTACACATGTTGTATCTCAGTTTAATACATGTATCTCAGTTGTACACATGTTGTATCTCAGTTTAATACATGTTGTATCCCAGTTTAATACATGTTGTATCTCAGTTTTATACATGTTGTATCTCAGTTGTACACATGTTGTATCTTAGATGTATACATGTATCTCAGCTGCATATCATGTGTCAATTGTATGCACATTGTATCTGCATGGTTGAGCTCACCATCAGGTCCTCCCGTCGAGTCCACGATGGCTAACACAGACAGACGAAGGTCGTGACAACTGCACAGAATCTTGTCGGCAAAACTCTCTTGTAGTGCAGTTCCTGTATAGTACAAAGAACAGTCATAAGGCCTTTACTCTACTTGACATTACATCTCTCACAGGAAGTCATCGAAACAGGGCACTGTACATCACTGACCTTGACCTTGCTATTGTTTGATGGGCATTACTTAGAAGTTGACAGACGACAAAGTAGACACAAATTATGGATAACAGTTTCCTTATTTACTGTAATGGTGACGTATTGGTATAGATCCTTATACCGTTGTCAAGCAAGACTGAATTATGAACATGGTACAGAATATATATAGTAGGCATAGGATTAACAGTAACAACAATTGCATACAAGAAGTGATTAACATGAGAAGGTTAAATACTGACAACAGAAGGATAATATTGACAACAGAAGGATAATACTGACAACAGAAGGATAATACTGACAACAGAAGGTTAATACTGACAACAGAAGGTTAATACTGAAAACAGAAGGATAATACTGTAACAACATGTAACAATCAGCCATCTCGGACCATATCAGCAACTGCTGCAATCACAACATCAACTGGAAAACGTCCAAATCCTCTCCAACAACCTCCATGATTTCACTAAAAGAAAACTAACAGAAGCAGTCCACATACACCGCCACAAGCCATCAATCAACAGGGATCAAGGCTATTTCATCCCATCCGCCTACTATGAACTCATTAAGCAATAATCACCCCACCTATGTATACTTAATCCTGTTTAACTGGCTTCCTGTCTTATTCGCTTCTTCATCATGTGTTCTCTGTCCATCATGTTGTTACAGTATATATAGTGGTCGCCTTTACAGTAAATAAAGAAGCTGTCATCCCTATATTGAGTCTACTTTGTACTTTGCTCGGTGTCACTGTGCAAGTGATGATCTGACTGACCAATGAGACGACTAACAGGAAGTTGACATTATCCAATCAGAAGCTAGTATCTAAATGGTGACTTCTATTCCAGACTACACTTTTAAATATATTTTGAGAAAGTTGTCCCTTTGAAATTTTTAAAATTAAGAAAAGAAAATTCTGGAATGTCTAATACTACTATGTGGCTGAGATTGTTGTCAAAATCAGTCATACGGAATGTCCCTTGTTAACCTTTTCAAAATCGCATGATTAGAAAACACCTCTGGACTTTCACTTTCATGATCTTGTGACGCTCTGATTGGTGGGATGAAAGGTCGTTCTGACATGAACTGTAATGGGATGTCCTCAGGTGTTTATGTAGTGGTAGCAAGCAGAAAGAACTAATTTCAATGAGACTGGTCACTGATCCTGCGTAAAACTGAACAGCACTAAACAACCTAGTAACACGTGACATCTCATCACGTAGTGGGGTGGCAGTCTGTGTGCATCAACCGCCTCCGTACCTGAATGTCTGTCGGTGATCCTTGCTACAAGGTCCTTGCACATCCGGGAAACATCAGCCAAGCTGGAATGGTTCCCAACAGATCCGAGAGACACTGAAGATGGATACTAGTGTGAATGTCCTTGCATAGGAATGAATCTAACTGCGCAGTAATATAAAACTGTATCTGTCTGAGTGTGGGGGACAATATTCATTGGTTCATCATGACATCAGATATATGTCACATGATGTTTGATTGTGCATATTGCAATCTGCAGTGATATGAACTAATATCACTTTACAGGCTTTTTATTTCTTGAGATCATCCAATTCATTCCTGGGCAAACATATCTTGCTTAACTTAATACTTAACTTGCTTCAAGATGGGGAGAAAAACTGGTTGTTATATTTCCTTTTTTGGGAAAGTTATTATTATTATTATAAGAAAAGTCTTATCTGTTCCAAATTAACAACACATCAACGTCTTAATCACTTGATTTTTTTAAAAATAATCCGAGTTTATGTTGTATTCCTGCTTCATGACCTCTTTGCATTTGCGAAGAGATCCTATTTATTTGATTGGTTTATCATATTGATAACACAATCCATTATGAGACTTACATCTTTTGTACGTATAGCTGCTGCTACTGCTGAGTTGGGAGGACCGGCAGGAGGACAGAGGACTCCGGTGGTAGCCAGCCATGCTGCAGAAGACACACATCGGGTAAAGTGAAGGTGGTCACAGGTAAAGTGAAAGTGGGTCACAGGTAGAGTGAAGGTGGTCACAGGTAAAGTGAAAGTGGTCACAGGTAAAGTGAAGGTGGGTCACAGGTAAAGTGAAAGTGGTCACAGGTAAAGTGAAGGTGGGTCACAGGTAAAGTGAAGGTGGGTCACAGGTAAGGTGAAGGTGGGTCACGTGTAAAGTGAAGGTGGGTCACAGGTAAAGTGAAGGTGGGTCACAGGTAAAGTGAAGGTGGGTCACAGGTAAAGTGAAGGTGGTCACAGGTAAAGTGAAGGTGGGTCACAGGTAAAGTGTTGGTCACAGGTAAAGTGAAGGTGGGTCACAGGTAAAGTGAAGGTGGGTCACAGGTAAAGTGTTGGTCACAGGTAAAGTGAAGGTGGGTCACAGGTAAGGTGAAGGTGGGTCACAGGTAAGGTGAAGGTGGGTCACAGGTAAAGTGAAGGTGGGTCACATGTAAAGTGAAAGTGGGTCACAGGTAAAGTGAAGGTGGGTCACAGGTAAAGTGAAGGTGGGTCACAGGTAAAGTGTTGGTCACAGGTAAAGTGAAGGTGGGTCACAGGTAAAGTGAAGGTGGGTCACAGGTAAAGTGAAGGTGGGTCACAGGTAAAGTGAAAGTGGTCACAGGTAAAGTGAAAGTGGTCACAGGTAAAGTGAAGGTGGGTCACAGGTAAAGTGAAGGTGGGTCACAGGTAAGGTGAAGGTGGGTCACAGGTAAGGTGAAGGTGGGTCACAGGTAAGGTGAAAGTGGTCACAGGTAAAGTGAAGGTGGGTCACAGGTAAAGTGAAGGTGGGTCACAGGTAAAGTGAAGGTGGTCACAGGTAAGGTGAAGGTGGGTCACAGGTAAGGTGAAGGTGGGTCACAGGTAAAGTGAAGGTGGGTCACAGGTAAGGTGAAGGTGGGTCACAGGTAAGGTGAAGGTGGGTCACAGGTAAAGTGAAGGTGGGTCACAGGTAAGGTGAAGGTGGGTCACAGGTAAAGTGAAGGTGGGTCACAGGTAAAGTGAAGGTGGGTCACAGGTAAGGTGAAGGTGGGTCACAGGTAAAGTGAAGGTGGGTCACAGGTAAAGTGAAGGTGGGTCACAGGTAAAGTGAAAGTGGTCACAGGTAAAGTGAAGGTGGGTCACAGGTAAAGTGAAGGTGGGTCACAGGTAAGGTGAAGGTGGGTCACAGGTAAAGTGAAGGTGGGTCACAGGTAAAGTGAAAGTGGTCACAGGTAAAGTGAAGGTGGGTCACAGGTAAAGTGAAGGTGGGTCACAGGTAAGGTGAAGGTGGGTCACAGGTAAGGTGAAGGTGGGTCACATGTAAAGTGAAGGTGGGTCACAGGTAAGGTGAAGGTGGGTCACATGTAAAGTGAAGGTGGGTCACAGGTAAAGTGAAGGTGGGTCACAGGTAAAGTGAAAGTGGTCACAGGTAAAGTGAAGGTGGGTCACAGGTAAAGTGAAGGTGGGTCACAGGTAAGGTGAAGGTGGGTCACATGTAAAGTGTTGGTCACAGGTAAAGTGAAGGTGGGTCACAGGTAAAGTGTTGGTCACAGGTAAAGTGAAGGTGGGTCACAGGTAAGGTGAAGGTGGGTCACATGTAAAGTGAAGGTGGGTCACAGGTAAAGTGTTGGTCACAGGTAAAGTGAAGGTGGGTCACAGGTAAAGTGAAGGTGGGTCACATGTTAAGTGAAGGTGGTCACAGGTAAAGTGAAGGTGGGTCACAGGTAAAGTGTTGGTCACAGGTAAAGTGAAGGTGGGTCACAGGTAAAGTGAAGGTGGGTCACAGGTAAAGTGAAGGTGGTCACAGGTAAAGTGAAGGTGGGTCACAGGTAAAGTGAAGGTGGGTCACAGGTAAAGTGAAAGTGGTCACAGGTAAAGTGAAGGTGGGTCACAGGTAAAGTGAAGGTGGGTCACAGGTAAAGTGAAGGTGGTCATTTTGAACAAATGTCACCCACATTCTATTTTTCTATAAAACTACATACACATAATACAGCATTCTCACCATTCTCCATTATCCAGTGTAACACCTTCATTTTGAATCAGATTCGTACGGTACAAGGCTAAAATTAACTTTCCAATCAAGATACTCTCATGAGCAAGAGACATCTTGTGCTTAGTTAGTGATACAGAGATGGAGAGAGTGACATCACTTCCAAGAGGAAGCTTGGGTGGCAAATGATTCCAGGGTATTTATCAGATAGAAAGGAGACATATATATTGAGGATGATTAACCAACTGCTTGTCCTTCTTTTGGAGTTTTGAGTGACATGAATATTCTTAAGGAAATAACAGATTTTCTATGGCCAGAAGTATGTATTTTTGAATTGGCTGTATCAAGCATCTATTGCTAATCGATGGTCATATCTGTTACTTTGATATGAGCTTGTGTTTTCTTGTAGTAGGTAGTTATGTGACAACACATGTCAAATTGTATATGCAGGGAATGCTTGAGGTCTCCTATCCTGGCCGCGTGGAGAGAAAGCAACTTACACCTGGGGGGAGTTGAGGGGGGAGCCGGCCAGGTGAGGGTCCCTCTCCCAGCTGTCCCCAGGGTCATGGAACACCTCGTCATCCTCCGAACAACTCTCACCCTCGTTCTGAAACACAAGGCACCCATCAAAGGCGTGGATCAAAGGAGCTGCCTCTACTGTAGATAACGGAGACAAGATGGCACAGAGAACCTAACATTTGGCATGAAGTCAGAACCAAATACACAGTGAGAGGACACATCAAAGTGGTGCAATCTTCTGAATAATGTTTTTGAATGATGGAGGTTAGGCTCAACCTTCCATTTATTTCATAAAATGGTAAAGATATTTGAAATATTTTGAAACCAGTGTAACAACAAAATTGAACACTTCACTCGAGTTTTGTGAAGAAATATTGAATGTTATATAATTTATGATCTAAAAATGATCCCCTCTGTCCCACATGTGGGCTCAATATACTGTAAATCATGAAATTAACGCAACAAATGTGAGTGTTCCTCTCTCGCATGAATAAAGTTATTATCTGGATATACTGGAGTATACGGCCATGTCCAGTTCACTGCACATACATGTAGATGGAAACAATGACACTCCTAACACAGCTCACAGTAAAGTGTAACTGGCCACTAGATTCAGACAGTGCTTCTCACCAAGTTCCCTGTCAAGTGTGGTCAGCATGGTCACTTTGTTTACACAAGTAGATCAAGCCTGGCATCTTTATTCTTGGAACCTTGTCAAATAATCTTATTATTTACAAGCAAAACACTGCTCATCTACATAGTGAAAATGTCCAGTACAGCAACAGCAGTCGTGGCGAATACATAACACTGCTCATTTTCGCTGAAGGATTGTGCTAACTCATTCAAAAATACTTAAAACCTGTATCCGACCTATCTCTTTTGAACATGCATTGTTTGTGAAGTTAAGTATGTGAAAATAGGAAATCATAAAAGTTCATCAAAGTGCTTCACCCCGATCAGCTGATCACCCCATACTTTAACATGGAACTCTAAGTCGACAGTTCTGGTGTTATCTTTAGCTGATTAGTTTTCATAGATCAAAGGAAGGACAACATTTCAGACAAGGGGGCGACACATGCATTAATTTGGTGACACATCAATTTCATCATTAACAGTATCCCAAGTAAGCCATGCTTTTTCAAAGAACCATAATTCAAGCTACAGCTGTTACTCACTCACTCGTCAGTCTGTGGAACCTACCTGGAACAGATCCCTCATGTGCAACAGCTTCTCCTCAAACTTGACCAGTGTCCAGTACGTGCAGATGTTATGTTTGGTGTTGGTCACTTTGATGAGCGGCTTCACTTGGTCATCTTCCAAAATGTCTTCCCGGCTGAATGTCTGCAACATGACATGACAACTGCTCTTATACCCCGCCATGAATAACACAGACTACATGTGGATTTATGAGCAGGAGACTAAATCCCTTTTACCCCGCTTCGAAGCAAAAGGCTGAACGCTTTTTCCAAGTCAATGAACTTCATGTGACACAGCACAGTTAACCTCAGCTCAATCGAACAGCTGTTTTCTATCAATGTGGAATTTCTTTGAATTCTTTAACAATGGCAGATTAAAACATGTCAGTAAGATACATTTGTTGTAGCAGTATCACTCAGGGTACATGTGGTTTTAAACTTCCCTTGTTAGGTTTAATACCTCATGGTACAAAACCTAACGTGGGATGCACAAAACCACATGTACCGTGAGTGATACTGCTACAACATATATTATTATTCTCTTTAGTTTCATAAATGTAAAACTTTCCATGATATATAAAAATACTTCTAAGTTTGTTCCACCTCATAAGGACATGCCTAGCTGTGACATGCAAAGTTAAGCTCCGTGACACACATACCCAGAAACCATGATCCCTTGACAGTGGAAGTTAACAACAAAGCCTGAATATACATTGAGCCAGTTAAAATGTCACTCCCACCTCAGAAACAAAGACAAGGTTTGATATCTGTCATATTTGCTATTGGTATTGCACTTGATTCTGAGCCAGGAATTCCTGTGCCATCTGTACATGCACAAGTAAGATTGTACAAATATAGGTCATTGTGCTAAACTATAGAGATATTATATCTCTACCATAATCGAGTCTGGACCAGACAATCCAGTGATTGATACCATGAGCATCAATCCACGCAATTGGGATACGATGACATGCAACAACCAAGTCAGCGAGCCTGACCACCCAATCCTGTTAATCGCCTCTTACGACAAGCATGGGTTGCTGAAGACCTATTCTAACCCGGATCTGAACGGGTTATAGATCTAGTGTTACTGTTAATATTCTATTATTATTCTAACTATTATAGTGGACAGAAAGATTAATGTTCCCCAATTTCTAATCTTTGAAATAATTCTGAGGTAAATTTTCCAGTGTATAAGATCGCTACAGCTTGAAGACTGTTCCATGTCCATTACTCTATGTAGACAGTTTTAGTTTGAAGGCCTGGTAGATTTTTAGCATGTCAGCCTTGAATTCAGGATAATCGGCCACCTATTGGAGTCTCAGGAAGATTGAATAGTAATCTACATTAGAGGGTGATATTCTCTCTATGAACCAGAGATGGCATCAAAGTAATAACAGTTGTTGTTCATGTTCTACCCTGTGCTCACCGTATTCTTCTTCAGGTACTGACTGATCTTGTTGGCTTCCCTCAGTAGCAGCGCCACCTTGTAGAGGTCAGTGCGACCGGTCATGGTGTCAGGCACTCGCTGGCGTTTGGACGGTGTCATCATCTCGGTACGCTTCTGTTTCAGCTTCTCCAGGTTCTCCACTGCCTTCTGTTTCTCTGAGTGCAGCAGTTCCAGAAGTCGAGACCTGCCCAGTGGTATCTGTCCCGCTGTCTGCGATATGGACATGGCATCGTCTTACATAGCCCACACAATAATAATAATATTTACTGAAAACTTGAACTATAAGTTTTACCTGATCACACATATTTCAGTTGCATTAACAAAAAAATGAATGCCAACAAGATGTGACGGAGACATTAATTTACTGGTGGCCTATACCATGTGACGGAGATGAAGATGCTGGTGTATACCTTCTCCGCTGCCTGGGCCTCCTCCACCTGCCTCCTCCTCCCTGCCAACACCTCCTGCTCCAGCATCTGCAACATCATCACATCACTGATGGGGGCACAAGGCAGAGGCACAACACAGTGAGACAACACAGTGAGACAACACAGTGAGACAACAGTGAGACAACACAGTGAGACAACACAGTGAGACAACAGTGAGACAACACAGTGAGACAACACAGTGAGACAACAGTGAGACAACACAGTGAGACAACACAGTGAGACAACACAGTGAGACAACACAGTGAGACAACACAGTGAGACAACACAGTGAGACAACACAGTGAGACAACACAGTGAGACAACACAGTGAGACAACACAGTGAGACAACACAGTGAGACAACACAGTGAGACAACAGTGAGACAACACAGTGAGACAACAGTGAGACAACACAGTGAGACAACACAGTGAGACAACACAGTGAGACAACACAGTGAGACAACACAGTGAGACAACACAGTGAGACAACACAGTGAGACAACACAGTGAGACAACACAGTGAGACAACAGTGAGACAACACAGTGAGACAACAGTGAGACAACACAGTGAGACAACACAGTGAGACAACACAGTGAGACAACACAGTGAGACAACACAGTGAGACAACACAGTGAGACAACACAGTGAGACAACAGTGAGACAACACAGTGAGACAACACAGTGAGACAACACAGTGAGACAACACAGTGAGACAACACAGTGAGACAACACAGTGAGACAACACAGTGAGACAACACAGTGAGACAACAGTGAGACAACACAGTGAGACAACACAGTGAGACAACACAGTGAGACAACACAGTGAGACAACACAGTGAGACAACACAGTGAGACAACACAGTGAGACAACACAGTGAGACAACAGTGAGACAACACAGTGAGACAACACAGTGAGACAACACAGTGAGACAACACAGTGAGACAACACAGTGAGACAACAGTGAGACAACACAGTGAGACAACACAGTGAGACAACACAGTGAGACAACACAGTGAGACAACACAGTGAGACAACACAGTGAGACAACACAGTGAGACAACAGTGAGACAACACAGTGAGACAACACAGTGAGACAACACAGTGAGACAACACAGTGAGACAACACAGTGAGACAACACAGTGAGACAACACAGTGAGACAACAGTGAGACAACACAGTGAGACAACACAGTGAGACAACACAGTGAGACAACACAGTGAGACAACACAGTGAGACAACACAGTGAGACAACACAGTGAGACAACACAGTGAGACAACACAGTGAGACAACACAGTGAGACAACACAGTGAGACAACACAGTGAGACAACACAGTGAGACAACTACGAGAATCAGAAAATAATGAATTGATCCATAACTGCAATCCAGATTTATCTAGAGTACTTCACTTGATTCAACTCGTGTAATCTGCTCACCATCTTCTGTTTCTTCAGCTTGCTGATGATATCCTCAGCCTCTTGTCTCCACTCCTCTGCCTTGCGAGCCTCGAGACTCTGGCTGCTCTGAAATACAAGACATGGTACACATTCTTCAACAGATGTGTTACTGGCTGTGTGGCATCACTTCAACTACCAGTAAATGCTCCAGTCCATCATCCAGTGCCTGGCCTAGCTGTGCCTACTCCAGTCCACCTGCCAGTGCCTGGCCTAGCTGTGCCTACTCCCATCCACCTACCAGTGCCTGGCCTAGCTGTGCCTACTCCAGTCCACCTGCCAGTGCCTGCCCTAGCTGTGCCTACTCCAGTCCACCTGCCAGTGCCTGCTCAAGCTGTGCCTACTCCAGTCCACCTGCCAGTGCCTGGCCTAGCTGTGCCTACTCCAGTCCACCTACCGGTGCCTGCTCCAGTCCATCTCCCAGTGCCTGTCATAGCTGTGCCTACTCCAGTCCAACTGCCAGTGCCTACTCCAGTCCACCTGCCAGTGCCTGTCCTAGCTGTGCCTACTCCAGTCCACCTCCCAGTGCCTGCCCTAGCTGTGCCTACTCCAGTCCACCTCCCAGTGCCTGCCCTAGCTGTGCCTACTCCAGTCCACCTCCCAGTGCCTGCCCTAGCTGTGCCTACTCCAGTCCACCTCCCAGTGCCTGCTCTAGCTGTGCCTACTCTAGTCCACGAACCAGTTCCTACTCAACCTGTGCCTGTCTAGTCCACCTACCAGTGTCTGCTCTAGCTGTGCCTACTCCAGTCCACCTCCCAGTGCCTGCTCTAGCTGTGCCTACTCTAGTCCACCTACCAGTGCCTGCTCTACCAGTGCCTACTCCAGTCCACCTACTAGTGCTTAATCCAGTCCACCTACCAGTGCCTACTCCAGTCTACCTACCAGTGCCTACTCCAGTCCACCTACCAGTGCCTACTCCAGTCTACCTACCAGTGCCTGCTCTAGCTGTGCCTACTCCAGTCAACCTACCAGTGCCTGCTCTACCAGTGCCTACTCCAGTCCACCTACCAGTGTCTGCTCTAGCTGTCCCTACTCTAGTCCACCTACCAGTGCCTTCTCCAGTCCACCTACCAGTGCCTGCTCTAGCTGTGCCCACCCCAGTCCACCTACCAGTGCCTACTCAACCTGTGCCTACTCCAGTCCACCTACCAGTGTCTGCTCTAGTTGTGCCTACTCCAGTCCACCTACCAGTGCCTGCTCTACCAGTGCCAGCTCTAGCTGTGCCTGCTCTACCAGTGCCTACTCCAGTCCACCTACCAGTGCCTACTCAACCCGTGCCTACTCCAGTCCACCTACCAGTGCCTGCTCTACCAGTGCCTACTCCAGTCCACCTACCAGTGCCTGCTCTACCAGTGCCTGCACTAGCTGTGCCTACTCGAGTCCACCTACCAGTGCCTGCTCCAGCTGTGCCAGCCTGTCCTCGTAGCCTGTCTTCTGCTGGTCCAGCACCTGGGCAGCCTCCTTCCTGGCCTTCTCCACCTCCTCCACCAGCTCCTGCTGAGCCTGCCGCCGCGCCTCATCCAGCTCACACTGCAGCCTGCAGGCAGACACACACTCAGTGTTGAGGGACAGTAACATTATCACAGCACTTAACATCTGAAGTGAACTTTTCACCGTAACTGACATTCAGGCAAAATCCCGAGGAGGATTCCTGTGGAGACCATGATCATGAACAGACAGATCCTGTTTGACTCACCTGGCTTCTTGGACTCGCAGTAACTCCTGCTTGGCAAACTCAAAGTCCTTCACCTCACTGGACGTCAGACTCGTCTTCTTGCCCTTCTGGACTTCCATTGGATGGTTGAACCTGAACACAACACAGGTCACCATCACTAACAGGAGGACAAGGCACAGGTCATTATCACCAATAGTAGGACACGACACAGGTCATTATCACCAATAGTAGGACACGACACAGGTCATTATCACCAATAGTAGGACACCACACAGGTCACCATCACTAACAGTAGGACACGACACAGGTCAACATAACTAACAGGAGGATACGACACAGGTCACCATCACTAACAGGAGGACACGGCACAGGTCACCATCACTAACAGGAGGACAAGGCACAGGTCACCATCACTAACAGGAGGACACGACACAGGTCACCATCACTAACAGGAGGACACGACACAGGTCACCATCACTAACAGGAGGACACGGCACAGGTCATCATCACTAACAGGAGGACACGACACAGGTCACATTCACTAACAGGAGGACACGACACAGGTCACCATCACTAACAGGAGGACACGGCACAGGCCATTATCACTAACAGTACTACACGACACAGGTCATTATCACTAACAGAAGCACACGACACAGGTCATCATCACTAACAGGAGGACAGGACACAGTTCATTATCACTAACTGTACTACACGACACAGGTCATTATCACCAACAGTATGACACGACACAGGTCATAATCACTAACAGTAGGGCACGACACAGGTCACCATCACTAACAGTAGGACACGACACAGGTCATTATCACTAACAGTACTACACGACACAGGTCATAATCACTAACAGTAGGGCACGACACAGGTCACCATCACTAACAGTAGGACACGACACAGGTCATTATCACCAATAGTAGGACACGACACAGGTCATTATCACTAACAGGAGGATACGACTCAGGTCATTATCACTAACAGTAGGACACAACACAGGTCATTATCACTAACAGTAGGACACGACACAGGTCATCATCACTAACAGTAGGACACAACACAGGTCATTATCACTAACAGTAGGACACGACACAGGTCATTATCACTAACAGTAGGACACAACACAGGTCATTATCACTAACAGTAGGACACAACACAGGTCATTATCACTAACAGTAGGACACAACACAGGTCATTATCACTAACAGTAGGACACGACACAGGTCATTATCACCAATAGTAGGACACGACACAGGTCATCACCAATAGTAGGACACGACACAGGTCATTATCACCAATAGTAGGACACGACACAGGTCATTATCACCAATAGTAGGACACCACACAGATCATTATCACTAACAGTAGGACACGACACAGGTCAACATAACTAACAGGAGGGTACGGCACAGGTCACCATCACTAACAGTAGGACACGACACAGGTCATCATCACTAACAGTAGGGTACGGCACAGGTCACCATCACTAACAGGAGGGTACGGCACAGGTCACCATCACTAACAGGAGGGTATGGCACAGGTCACCATCACTAACAGTAGGACACGACACAGGTCATCATCACTAACAGTAGGACACGACACAGGTCACCATCACTAACAGGAGGGTACGGCACAGGTCACCATCACTAACAGGAGGGTATGGCACAGGTCACCATCACTAACAGTAGGACACGACACAGGTCACCATCACTAACAGGAGGACACGACACAGGTCACCATCACTAACAGGAGGGTACGGCACAGGTCACCATCACTAACAGGAGGACTTGACACAGGTCATTATCACTAACAGGAGGACACGACACAGGTCATCATCACTAACAGGAGGACAGGACACAGTTCATTATCACTAACTGTACTACACGACACAGGTCATTATCACTAACAGTACTACACGACACAGGTCATTATCACTAACAGTAGGACACGACACAGGTCATCATCACTAACAGTAGGGCACGACACAGGTCATCATCACTAACAGTAGGACACAACACAGGTCATTATCACTAACAGTAGGACACGACACAGGTCATCATCACTAACAGTAGGACACGACACAGGTCATCATCACTAACAGGAGGACACAACACAGGTCATTATCACTAACAGTACTACACGACACAGGTCATTATCACTAACAGTAGGATACGACACAGGTCATTATCACTAACAGTAGGATACGACACAGGTCATTATCACTAACAGTAGGATACGACACAGGTCATTATCACTAACAGTAGGATACGACACAGGTCATTATCACTAACAGTAGGACACGACACAGGTCATCATCACTAACAGTAGGACACAACACAGGTCATTATCACTAACAGTAGGACACGACACAGGTCATCATCACTAACAGGAGGACTTGACACAGGTCATTATCACCAACAGTAGGGCACGACACAGGTCATCATCACTAACAGTAGGACACAACACAGGTCATTATCATGAACAGTACTACACGACACAGGTCATTATCACTAACAGCAGGACACGACACATGTCATCATCACTAACAGTAGGACACAACACAGGTCATTATCACCAATAGTAGGACACGACACAGGTCATTATCACCAATAGTAGGACACGACACAGGTCATTATCACTAACAGTAGGGCACGACACAGGTCATCATCACTAACAGTAGGGCACGACACAGGTCATTATCACTAACAGTAGGACACGACACAGGTCATTATCACTAACAGTAGGACACGACACAGGTCATCATCACTAACAGTAGGATACGACACAGGTCATCATCACTAACAGTAGGGCACGACACAGGTCATTATCACTAACAGTAGGACACGACACAGGTCATTATCACTAACAGTAGGATACGACACAGGTCATCATCACTAACAGTAGGGCACGACACAGGTCATTATCACTAACAGTAGGACACAACACAGGTCATCATCACTAACAGCAGGACACGACACAGGTCATCATCACTAACAGTAGGGCACGACACAGGTCATCATCACTAACAGTAGGACACAACACAGGTCATTATCACTAACAGTAGGATACGACACAGGTCATCATCACTAACAGTAGGGCACGACACAGGTCATTATCACTAACAGTTGGACACAACACAGGTCATTATCACTAACAGTAGGACACGACACAGGTCATTATCACTCACAGTAGGACACGACACAGGTCATCATCACTAACAGTAGGATACGACACAGGTCATTATCACTAACAGTAGGATACGACACAGGTCATCATCACTAACAGTAGGACACGACACAGGTCATTATCACTAACAGTAGGACACAACACAGGTCATTATCACCAACAGTAGGATACGACACAGGTCATCATCACTAACAGTAGGGCACGACACAGGTCATTATCACTAACAGTTGGACACAACACAGGTCATTATCACTAACAGTAGGACACGACACAGGTCATTATCACTCACAGTAGGACACGACACAGGTCATCATCACTAACAGCAGGACACGACACAGGTCATTATCATGAACAGGTAACAATTGCTGGCTAACACTGTGTTTCTAGTCCAGTATTTACAGTGGTGTACAAGGAGATATGAAGATGACTTTCTACTCACCGGAAGTAGTGGTCACCGCCCAGGATCACCCGGTCAGCCTGAAGGTAAAACAAGTGGAGATGTATATATGGATGACAGTCGTAACATCACACATTGGCAGTCATCTGCCCACCAGTTGTATATATCATCACTGATATACATCACAGACACAACAGTCATCTGCCCACCAGTTGTATATATCATCACTGATATACATCACAGACACAACAGTCATCTGCCCACCAGTTGTATATATCATCACTGATATACATCACAGACACAACAGTCATCTGCCCACCAGTTGTATATATCATCACTGCTATACATCACAGACACAACAGTCATCTGCCCACCAGTTGTATATATCATCACTGATATACATCACGGACACAACAGTCATCTGCCCACCAGTTGTATATATCATCACTGATATACATCACAGACACAACAGTTATCTGCCCAAAAGATCACCAATATATATCATGTCATGTACTGCTTGTCTCCTACACGCACACACACACGCACGCACACACACACGCACAACTGCCCATCAAATCAACAAGACTGTGTCACACCTACATGATGCAGTATCGTGGGCTCAGAGATGAGGTTCCCGTTGACATAGGTTGGTGCGTCTCCGATGGGAGTAATGCTTATCACACCCTCAACGTTGTTGATGATGCTGAAAGAGACGTCCACATCAGTTTAAATTGTTTTGTTTCTATGAATATTACACACACTAAAAACACATTTTGGATTTTTACTCTTTCAAAACACATCTAATTGATGCAATATCCTTATGGAAATAAATCCTTTTACTCCAAATGTTGAACCACAGACAACGAATCACTGATAAACAAGTTACAGTCTCACTTGATTTCCTTAACTTCTTCATTTCTTGATCACACCTATTTGATGTGTTGCACATGACCAAGATGTTGCACTTCGAGATGAGTTTTGAAAATTAAAGTTAATCCCAGTCAGAAGTGATTGTCAGCAACAAGCACCCCACTGAGTTGTATATCATGTTTGCAACAACGCACCAGTGATTGGCGGCAATAAGGGCCCCACTGAGTTGTATATCATGTTTGCAACAACGCACCAGTGATTGTCGTAAACAAGCACCCCATTGAGTTGTATATCATGTTTGCAACAACGCACCAGTGATTGGCGGCAATAAGGGCCCCATTGAGTTGTATATCATGTTTGCAACAACGCACCAGTGATTGTCAGCAATAAGGGCCCCATTGAGTTGTATATCATGTTTGCAACAACGCACCAGTGATTGGCGGCAATAAGGGCCCCACTGAGTTGTATATCATGTTTGCAACAACGCACCAGTGATTGGCGGCAATAAGCACCCCATTGAGTTGTATATCATGTTTGCAACAACGCACCAGTGATTGTCGTAAACAAGCACCCCATTCAGTTGTATATCATGTTTGCAACAACGCACCAGTGATTGGCGGCAATAAGGGCCCCACTGAGTTGTATATCATGTTTGCAACAACGCACCAGTGATTGTCGTAAACAAGCACCCCATTGAGTTGTATATCATGTTTGCAACAACGCACCAGTGATTGTCGTAAACAAGCACCCGATTGAGTTGTATATCATGTTTGCAACAACGCACCAGTGATTGTCGGCAATAAGGGCCCCACTGAGTTGTATATCATGTTTGCAACAACGCACCAGTGATTGGCGGCAATAAGGGCCCCATTGAGTTGTATATCATGTTTGCAACAACGCACCAGTGATTGGCGGCAATAAGCACCCCATTGAGTTGTATATCATGTTTGCAACAACGCACCAGTGATTGTCGGCAATAAGCACCCCATTGAGTTGTATATCATGTTTGCAACAACGCACCAGTGATTGGCGGCAATAAGGGCCCCACTGAGTTGTATATCATGTTTGCAACAACGCACCAGTGATTGTCGTAAACAAGCACCCCATTGAGTTGTATATCATGTTTGCAACAACGCACCAGTGATTGTCGTAAACAAGCACCCGATTGAGTTGTATATCATGTTTGCAACAACGCACCAGTGATTGGCGGCAATAAGGGCCCCATTGAGTTGTATATCATGTTTGCAACAACGCACCAGTGATTGGCGGCAATAAGGGCCCCAGTGAGTTGTATATCATGTTTGCAACAACGCACCAGTGATTGGCGGCAATAAGCACCCCATTGAGTTGTATATCATGTTTGCAACAACACACCAGTTATTGTCGTAAACAAGCACCCCATTGAGTTGTATATCATGTTTGCAACAACGCACCAGTGATTGGCGGCAATAAGGGCCCCACTGAGTTGTATATCATGTTTGCAACAACGCACCAGTGATTGGCGGCAATAAGCACCCCATTGAGTTGTATATCATGTTTGCAACAACGCACCAGTGATTGTCGTAAACAAGCACCCCATTCAGTTGTATATCATGTTTGCAACAACGCACCAGTGATTGGCGGCAATAAGGGCCCCACTGAGTTGTATATCATGTTTGCAACAACGCACCAGTGATTGTCGTAAACAAGCACCCCATTGAGTTGTATATCATGTTTGCAACAACGCACCAGTGATTGTCGTAAACAAGCACCCGATTGAGTTGTATATCATGTTTGCAACAACGCACCAGTGATTGTCGGCAATAAGGGCCCCACTGAGTTGTATATCATGTTTGCACCAACGCACCAGTGATTGGCGGCAATAAGGGCCCCATTGAGTTGTCTATCATGTTTGCACCAACGCACCAGTGATTGGAGGTAATAAGCACCCCATTGAGTTGTATATCATGTTTGCAACAACGCACCAGTGATTGTCGGCAATAAGGGCCCCATTGAGTTGTATATCATGCTTGGAAGTCTCGCTCATTCGTCCAACCCGCGTCTGCCCCTCCTTGATGACGTAGAGCAACATCTCCGACAGCTGTGGGTCTTCGTTCAGGTTCACCAGGTTGGGGAGCTTGTTGTCCACCTTCAGAGCAATGCCTGATTTCTGAAATAAGGAAAGTGTCAGGTGTGCACCACAGAAGCTGCTTCAGTAATATTTCCGTGTACACTCAAGTGCAGGGTAATCATCAGCTTATGAACAATTCCATGATTGATGAGAAAATTTCAAAATTCTACCTTGTCTACAGAATTTATTTGTGAGGGGGGAAAATGTTGACTTTGCCTTTTTTGTCCAATCAAAACACCATTGATAAACTGCTCACAATATATATGTACAAATCGTGGAAACCATATGAACATATGATCATAAAATAACACAAGGAGCATTTTGCAAATTTAAATGCGGTTCTAAACGAATTACGAATCCATTTTATCAAGAAGCAGGCCTGCATTAGTTGTTTCTTTCAAACTCCAACTCACCTCCAACACCCGTCCTTCCGCAACCTTTTTCTCCTCGGACCTTCTCAGTCTCTCCTGCCATGACCTGGGAGAAGGAAGAGTGAGGTAGATGAATGAAGACCAGTAGACACATTCAAACACACTCACTCACTCACACACACACTTTTTGTCATGCTTACTTTCTCCCACTCTGACACTCACTCTCACTTTACTTTATTTTGCCAGCCATTTCTAGGCATGGTGGCTAAATCTCACCATCAGGCTTTCTCTCACAATCACTCATACTTTTACAATCATTTTCACTCACTCCAAATCTCACACTTATAGTCAATCTCATTCTCACTTTCACTCACTCACTCACTCTTCACTTTATTTTGCCAGCCATTTCTAGTGAGTGAGTGAGTGAGTGAGTGAGTGAGTGAGTGAGTGAGGTTTTACGTTGCTTTTAGCCATATTCCAGCAATGTCACAGCAGCAGACACCAGAAATGGGCTTCACACATTGTACCCATGTGGGAAATCAAACCCAGGTTTTCAGCATGACGAGCAAACACTTTGACCACAAGGCTACCCCACCACCCACCAGCCGTTTCTAGGTATAGTAGGTCATTAAGAACCTGAATATTTGATCCTGATCCTGATCAGAAACTTCCCCCACAAAACAAGAGACAGGTGTCAGTGAGAGTGGACTGGTTGTGGCCTGACCTTGACATTTCATCCATCTCCCGCTCCTTCTCCATCAGCCTGTCCCGGAGGGTGGCGATCTCGATCAGGCTGGAGGTGTGGCTCTCGTCACAGACACTCCCTGCTGTCTTACCCCGCAGCTTCTCAATCTCGGACCGCAGCTCTGCAAACAAACATCGTAACCATGGCATAAAGCAGACGTCATGGGTCTCACAAACGTTCACAACATAAAATACATCATATTTTTTCAGAAAATATACATATCAAAATCAAACTTTGCACTGCACCTCTTCTATTAGTATGGAAACTGTTCCCTAAATGGAAAGATAAATTCTAAGTAAAACAATGAAAAAATGCTGTATTTTTTCAGAAAATCCAAATTTTGAAATTAAACTTCGCACTGCACCTCTCCTATAAGTATAAAAAGTGTTTGTTTAGTTTGAAAAGAATCTTTGTTGTAGTTTTCAAGTTATAGGTGACACAAGAAAATGTCCTCTGACAGACAGGACGGAATTCCTTTGTATAACTATATACCCCTACCCTCTTAGGTTTGGAGTATGAAAATACCTGAGTGAACTGCAAGTTTTGAAAGTTATTCAAACGATTAGGCCTATCTGATACTGCTGCTATTCCTATTTTAAACAATTTGGAAGCACATTTACCGGGGTAACTGCTATTCTACTTTGTAGTCTTTTTATGATACACATAATCTCTGATAATTTTTATTTCATTAATAGATCTGGCAACCATAAATTGTTTATTTTTCTTTCCATGAACATGGGTAAACCTTTCAACTAGTTTCAGTAACATGAAAAAACTCCACAGAAGCTCAATATGTGACACTGTGAGAAGGGAAGTAACTCTTTGATTTGTCAACAGTATAAACATGTTTTCTTTCATTCCATAATTTGAGGTGTGCCACGTTCACCATAATCATGATAATGGTGTTTATTAAGTGATATTTCTTGCAATTTTACATCAACCACCAACCATATAGTAGTGTTTGAGAGAAATCATAATGATTAAAAACATGCATAAATAATAAAAGAAATGACTTGAATATCTACATGATCTACTAATACTATACACATGATACAAGAAGGTGTAAAAATTCAAGGGTAAGATGTTTTGACGATGTACCCTGTGGTCATCACGATCATCGTGTCTGTTTTCTCAACTCACCCCGGATAATCTTGGCCTTGGGGTCTTCATTGACACGCACGACATTGACGATGGATCGGGCTTGCTTGGCGTATCTGGGGAGACAAGTTGACATGAAATCGGTTACTCAAAACAAGATCCCAGATACAAATACAATATAAGTCCGTATTTGATATAGCAGTGGCGCTGGTCAGACTCAGTGGAAGGGTATAGTCTTGAGTTCCATCTGGAAGGCAATGATGTCGCAGATTTTCTGTATTTCATTGGGAAATTCCTTACATATTTCTTTCACATTATTCCAAGTAGTACTCTTCATGCCAGAAACATAGTATTGACTGACAATTTTGGTTCAAGAGTTCAAATTCAACCTGCACTGGTATGTACCAGTGTTGTGTTCATCCGACACTGATAGGAAATAAAAGTGATTATTTCAGAACTAAATTATATTTTCAAAGTGTTTTTTTCAAAACTGTGTCACATAACGCGATTACATGTCAAAGATATGTTCCTATATAACCATGAATGAGTGAGTGAATATTTTGTGTCTGTACAGAAAAATGAATGGGAGTGTGTGGTAAAATCTGTTTGTGTGAAAAGCGTTGTTAACCCCCTGGATGCCAGAGGGACATATATGTCCCTCCTCTACAGCCCTCACTTTGAAGTCGAATAAAATTCAAAATACATCACCCACACAAATACACTTTACAGTTTTGAATAAGGTGGGAAATTCCCTGTTCTGTGATATCATCCACTGGCATTTTAGGCCAAGCAAAAGTACTGAACATGACCTCTGAAAATTAGGTACATCGTAAATGTCGCCATTTTTTACACATTACTAAATCACCACTCACGGCGTTATTTACAGCATGTTTTGAAATCTAAATTTCGGATATTTACTCGGAGAAATGAATTTCAAAAATAGCATATTAGTGATCACGGGTATCTGTCTTTTATGAAATCACCAATGATCATTCCAAAACGTCTCCGATAACCCTAGAATCGTTTAGAATGTTTTGGAAAAAACGAAAACACGAACGCCGAAGTGAACTTTCCGCCATATTGGATAGTGTTTACAAAATCACGTTTCAGGTACACCGGTTATGAGACGCCTGTAACATCACGTATATTTCAAACTTATCTGTGATACCTACATCCTTGAATTCCTCATACATTTTAGAATCAAATGACCAGTGGTCTCTGTCATCAATACAAAGTGGCTAGATGAAATCAAGCAAAATAAGTTAGGTGTGAAAACGAACGCTGTGCTCGAAAAACTGCACATGGTTGAAATGTCAACAAAGCAAAATTCAGATTTTACACAGTGTAGCATATTCTCCTATTTTGAGCTATCCATTCGTCTATTCGTTCAATATATTGGCTCAACATTTTCAGAATATGCATGGGAAGAGAATCGTAGGAAGAATTAGGGAATTTCAAATAGATTCATTGCAATGATTTGATATTTTCAACAGAAGTTGTCAAAGTTACCGTTCTGGTTGACGCCATGACTGACGCAAAATCACGCACAACGACAACGGTATTTATCGGAATTTCTGACTATTTCCGTTTGTTTCAATGAAAATTATGACAACAAATAACAGTACATAGATTGTCAGAATGTTTCTGATTACTTACATGTCACATTTATGTTTATACGATCCCTGAATCAACGAAAGTCCCTCGTACAATCCCGCGTACTGTTGAAAGTGTACAGGCCATTTTGTAAAAGTGGGTCACAGGTAGTGATGTCATATATACGTCAACATTGTTGTACATATTTGGTAATTTCTTTGAGGTGAAGGTCCTTGAATGAGAGTGCACACGATCACTGTATCATGCTGTTTACAGTTTCAGTTATGGTGTATATTTTGCATGTCTTTTATACATTTGTTCACACAATTAATTTCACTTTGGATATTTGTCAATGTTCAAAATGAAATCATACGTTCATATAGGCCACAACATGTATGAACGAACCTTTGATAATCTCCTGTTTGTTTGAACATTGTTTACATAACAATGTGATAGGTTTATAGTGTCGACTACGATATTTCTTTCCTTTGGACAAGTGTTACAAGATGAAGTGTAAATGTAACTGCAGCATGTACGTATTTCTTGGGATGTGTAATAAGTCAATATTATAAGTTCATATAACCAATGTCCATGAATAGCCGTTTCATTTTATTTTATAACTAAAACAGAATATATTACTTTAACAAAATGGATAATATTTTTCGGTAAAATATATGCACACATTTCTGAAATGTCTTGGTCTTGGATTTGTCTTTTATGTCGTTGGATACAGAGAACAATGATATCTAACGATTCGCCAGGTGCGCGTTAGTCACAAACAATTTACGAATTATTCCTCTCGTTTTGCATTATATAATCAATGGTTACATTATTTTTTCAATATTGGATCACAGGATAGTACACAGTTTACTTTATTTCTCCAGGAATTGTAAAATGTATAAAACTAAAACCCATGCCAGGTACCCTGTTGGTTCAAACGTATACGATTATCCTGATAATTCTATACCAATAGAGCTTTCTTGGCATCTTTTATTGTGTAAGAAAATATAACATAATCATGAACAAATATATGTCCAATATTGAATATAATTTTGGTTGTTTTGAAATATTCTTTTGGGAATTTCATTACGTAAATTGATGCCAAACAGGTGCGTGTTTTGTCCAATTAAGATACACGATAAACTATCTAATTGTTTACATATTCAAGACATTATTTACTTGGTGAGAGCAGTCATTTTATGTTGTGTCGAAAAAGCGTCAAATTCCGTTCCACACATCGAGATTTTCCAAACTATGAACGAAACTTAGGGGAGATATATATTAATCAAAATACAAGTGTCGTCTTTCTCCGACGTTATCAAAGACATGAAACCAGCCATGACGTCAAAAGGAATCGTGTTATTTTTCGGGTATTTCATTACATTTGATGATAAGGCTTGTGCTCCATTAATAATGATGCAACATTAGTCAAATCACACTTACACAATCAGGAGAATGTTGGAATCTAAGGACTAAGTTATAGGTTAGATAAGGCCATCCATTTCTCTATTACCCCCTTTTTATGAAGTACGATTTCATCATTTCTTATGGGTATATTTTATAACTAAACGTGTACAGTTTCAATATCGATATTTGTGTTGGAATAGTTTGGTTCCTCCTGAACAAAACACCACGAAAATATATTGTCCTGACCCACAGCTAATTCTCACCAAGTGACCTGAGTTACAACAAACTAGAGCTAAGCATAGCGGAGTTATGCCCCCTTTTCTTTGTACGTGTGTAACCTCTCTGTCACCTTTTGACGTCATAGAGAAAAATCAGTTTTCGTCATTTACGGCATGCTATTTTTGGAATTAAATGTATGTCGTTATACATACGCATATAACCCCATTTGATATGTAGTTATATCGTTCAGATATTAGGCAGTATTTTGTTCGCTCACAGTTTCCGTAAAGCTTCTTAATATAAAAAATTGTCGCACAGTACTTTTATCGGTGTACAATAAAAAGCGGAGAAATTTACTGTTTTTCAACGCAGAATAAATTCTCGGACAACACTTAGGAATGTCTTTTTTAAAAACCGGTTTGATATTTACAGTTAAATTTACACTATCAAAACAAGAAATTTAATATTCTCCACCTCTGGGTAATTTTATAGCCAGAGGTAGATCCGGTGCCGCGTGAGCGCAATTCTCGCACAACCTTCACTTTTCCGATCTTAGGAAAATGTGCGTCAGAAAAAAAACTCGGCATCCAGAGGGTTAAATGGGATTGTCATGGCATCCAGAGTGACGTAATGGCATACCACTACCAGAGTGATGTCATGCAATGCTAGAGTGACGTCATGGCATTCCAGAGTGACATCATGACATTCCAGTGTGTCGTCGTGACGTCATGACATTTCAGATCTGTCGGCCTGGTTAACATAAGTGGTTCATAGCATGAGCAGCAATCCACTACATTGGGCCATGGTGACCCACAAATAGTCAGGTCACACACTGTAAGAAATTGAAAACTGAAGACCCATTCTGCCGCATCTCATACTCAATCTGACCTGAGTGTGCTGAGTGTTTCCTCCGTATGGTGGTTCGCCGGGCTGATGGTGGCTATCATGGCCGTCTTCGAGTTGCCACCCAGACTCTCCTTCAGTAGCCTGCAGCAAAGAGCCAGTGAGTGAGTGACAGAGTGAGTGAGTGAGTGTTTGAGTGAGTGAGTGGGTGAGTGACAGAGTGAGTGAGTGTGTGAGTGAGTGAGTGACAGAGTGAGTGACAGTGAGTGAGTGAACGAGTGAGTGAGTGAACGAGTGAGTGAGTGAGTGACAGAGTGAGTGAGTGACAGAGTGAGTGAGTGAACGAGTGAGTTTAAGAGAGAGTGACAGTGAGTGAGTGACAGAGTGAGTAAATGAGTGAGTGAACGAGTGAGTTTAAGAGAGAGTGACAGTGAGTGAGTGTCAGAGTGAGTGAGTGAGTGAGTGAACGAGTGAGTGAGTGAACGAGTGAGTGAGTGAGTGACAGAGTGAGAGAGTGACAGAGTGAGTGAACGAGTGAACGAGTGAGTTTAAGAGAAAGTGACAGTGAGTGAGTGACAGAGTGAGTAAATGAGTGAGTGAACGAGTGAGTTTAAGAGAGAGTGACAGTGAGTGTCAGAGTGAGTGAGTGAGTGAGTTAGTGAGTGAGTGAGTGAGTGAGTTAGTGAGTGAGTGAGTGAGTGAGTGAGTGAGTGAGTGAGTGAGTGAGTGAGTTTAAGAGAGAGTGACAGTGAGTGAGTGTCAGAGTGAGTAAGTGAGTGAGTGAGTGAGTGAACGAGTGAGTTTAAGAGAGTGACAGTGAGTGAGTGACAGAGTGAGTGAACGAGTGAGTTTAAGAGAGAGTGACAGTGAGTGAGTGACAGAGTGAGTGAGTGAGTGAACGAGTGAGTTTAAGAGAGAGTGACAGTGAGTGAGTGACAGAATGAGTGAGTGAGTTAGTGAGTGAGTGAGTGACAGAGTGAGTGACTGAGTGAATGAGTGAATGAGTGAACGAGTGAGTTTAAGAGAGTGACAGAGTGAGTGAGTGAGTTAGTGAGTGAGTGAACGAGTGAGTTTAAGAGAGACAGTGAGCGACAGTGAGTGAGTGAGTGAGTGACAGTGAATGAGTGACAGAGTGAGTGAACGAGTGAGTTTAAGAGAGAGTGACTGTGAGTGAGTGACAGAGTGAGTGAGTGAGTGAGTGAGTGAATGAGTGAGTTTAAGAGAGAGTGACAGTGAGTGAGTGACAGAATGAGTGAGTGAGTTAGTGAGTGAGTGAGTGACAGAGTGAGTGACTGAGTGAATGAGTGAACGAGTGAGTTTAAGAGAGTGACAGTGAGTGAGTGTCAGAGTGAGTGAGTGAGTGAGTGAACGAGTGAGTTTAAGAGAGTGACAGTGAGTGAGTGACAGTGAGTGAGTGACAGAGTGAGTGAGTGAGTTAGTGAGTGAGTGAACGAGTGAGTTTAAGAGAGACAGTGAGTGAGTGAGTGACAGTGAATGAGTGACAGAGTGAGTGAGTGAGTTAGTGAGTGAGTGAGTGAGTTAGTGAGTGAGTGAGTTAGTGAGTGAGTGAGTGAGTGAACGAGTGAGTTTAAGAGAGAGTGACAGTGAGTGAGTGAACGAGTGAGTTTAAGAGAGAGTGACAGTGAGTGAGTGACTGAGTGAGTTTAAGAGAGAGTGACAGAGTGAGTGAGTAAAAGAGTTTAAAAGTGAATGCCATATGACAGCGGTCTGTAAATAATTGAATCTCAACCAGACAATCCAGTGACAGACATCATGAGCATCGATCTTCGCAATTGGGATACGATGACATACATGAACCAAGTCAGCGAGTATGACCATCCCATCCCCTTAATCGACTCTTACAAAAAGCATGAATTACTGAAGACGAATTCTGACAAAGATATTCAAGGGTCATGAGTGAGTGAACGTGTGAGTGAACGGGCGAGTCAGTTAGTAAGAGGATGGGTGAGTTGGCGAGTGACAAAGTGAGTGAGTGATAGATAGAGTGGGTGACAGTGAGTGAGTGGGTTACAGTGAGTGAGTGAGTGACAGTGATTGATAGAGTGAATAAGTGACAGTGACTGAGTGAGTGTGAGTGATAGAATGGGTGAGTAGGTGAGTGAGTGAGTGAGTGACTATGAACAGTATTTCAGTTATATTACATACAGCATGCCAGACTAATGTGGGAGGACAGCCTGAAGAGATCAGGGCTTGATTTAAGGAACTTGTTTCAACTTGCACCAGGTGCATGTTGACATGAAAACCTAGCTGCACCAGACAAAACCAGGTTGTACCCTGGTCCCATCCATTTATCAAAGTCGAAACCTAGACGCATAAACTAGTCTAAATACATAAAATCTCAGATCTCTGACTGTATCATGATTTGACATAAATTAAAGATGTATTGTTCTAAAACGAAAAAGGAGTGAGTGAGGTTTTATGCCACTTTTAGCAACATTTCAGCAATATCACGGTGGGGGACACCACAAATGGGCATGTCGGGAATCGAACCCAGGTCTTCGGCGTGACGAGCGAACGCTTTAACCACTAGGCTACCCGACCGCCAAAACGTAAAAGGAACGGGCACATAATCTTGAAGTACCCACAGTTTAATGACAAGCCCAAGGAAGCATGACAAATTACACAAAACACAGGGGTGAGTGGTGTAGGATGGTAATAAAGCTTAAAGGTGTTGAGAGAGTTAAAACATGTTTGGGTTGAGCATGTTGAGTAAGGGAAAGTCAGACACAATTTTGAATTTGTTTTTCATGCACTAGGTGCATGTAGACATAAATATTAGGTTGCACTTTTCACTAAAATGTTCAATTGTACATGAATCAAGCCCTGATAATAAAGAAAATCTTTGTAAAAGTTGCAGTTTTAATAAAAAAAATATGAAAAAAACCCATCCTGAAATAATTCCAATAACAAAGGAAAATACAAACCAAAAAATGATGTTCAAATTGAAACAGCCCTTTTGTAAAACTTAGGGCCATTTCAACTGTACAAGAAGACAAAATGGCATGATCTCAGACAAGATGTGATACATGAGTTAGAGACATCTGTCGTCACACGTTGAGCTGTTGAGTCGACCAGCAGGTGTACTCACCATGTGAGCACGGAGTCTCGATACGGAATGTAGCGTTTCTTCTTGGAGGTGGACTGGTCTGACAGAAGGGAGATGACTTTGCCCAGAGTCATCAGGGACTTGTTGATGTTGGCTCCTTCCTAGCAGGCAATATGTAAGCAGTGTGTCAAAGTTTACTGGCCCAACTTATATTTTAGCATTATTTTTCACATGGACTAGCTGATCTTACTTGGGCGTAAATAAATAAAAGAATTGGTTCTAGGCAATGGCCTGGTGGGGGGGGGGGGGTTGTTCCAAACCAGTATGTGACCAAATAAACGGTTGTATACAATCAACCTTGGAAATGTCCTCCCAATATAAATGTATTCCTTGACAAGTAAAATACTGGAATACAGCGTTTGCTTATCGTAGGACTTTGAATATTTAAGGATATTTTTATATTTTAAAAAAAATGAAATAAAAACGAAACGTGCGGCAAATTTTATGATGATGTGGGCAGTGCCTGAGAACCAAGACTATTATTTTTTTAGCCTAGACCAGAAATTTGTTTACATGATCGGGCTTCGGACAAGAGGCTAAAATTGCAGATTATTTCAGTTCATTTCAATGTTCACTTTAAATTTACCAAAATAGCATGTACTCATATCACATGTATAGCACACAATATTCCAGCTCTATGACAGTGGGCTGTAAGTAACCCAGTGATTGATATTGTGAACACACATTCATGCTGGCTGACCAGCCTGAGATGCCAGCCCAAACTGATGTTTTTTGGCCAAGATTCAGAAATATATTTCACTTCAGTGTCTTGGTGGAATTTGTAGTAAAACATTGTTATGCTTCCATCGAAATGGTTGTGCACCTACCCGGAGTCTCTCCCCGGAGGTCTGTGCTGCAGACTGTCTCTCACTGCCCGCCAGATCCACCAGGTTTATCTTGCTGTTGACAGAGCTGTCATGATCTTGTCCCTCCAGACGCTCCGTCTGCCAGGAAATACCATCACATAAACACCCATCTTCCTGAGGCAAAGGAGCTGACTGGCTATAAAAGTCCAGTTACCACCCTTGCTAAACTAGGCTGGAATTTCAGAGTTATGTTTTGACTGGACTAACAAGTCTATGCAGTCCAATCAAAATCGTGTAACAAAATCAACATCTGGATCATAAACTGCCATGCAGATTTAGGTCGCTTGCAGGATTTGCAAAACATTTGTACAGTCAACTGTTTGTTTGTTTGCTGTTTAACGCCGCACTCAGCAATATTCCAGCTATATGACAGCAATCTGTAAATAATCAAGTCTGGACCAGACAATCCAATGATTGATTTCATAAGCATTGATCCACGCAACGGTCAGCAAGCCTGACCACCCGAGCCCTCGCCTCTTACTGTTGCCTTTTACAAGCATTGTCACCTGTTACGGCAAGCATGGGTCTCTGAAGACCATCTGTACCGGAACTTATTTCATTATATCTGCGTGAAGTGAGGGACCTCCAACTTGATTCCAATATTACCATGGTTTCATTCACAGTAAACATGGCCCAATATCGACCTCTGTGAATATGAACATGACAAAACCTGCATCAGGAATCAGGACGTGACTAGCCTGCTGCTGCAACTGACCCTGGTCTGCGTCATGACGATGGTGAAGACGGAGTGTGATCGGCTGCTCTTGTCATTCATCCCCGTGGCAGCTGTGGCTCTGTTTTTGTTTCCCAGTGTGATCCAGCCCTGGAATAAACAGTTTGTAGACCTAATGAACAATATGGGGTTTACGTTGTGGTGGTAATAGTACATGTCTGAGCTTTATTCCTTGCCACTGAGGCAGAACACAGTGCCCGTCTGCACTAATCCTCCATGGTGTCCATCCAATCACCTCAGTGTAATGTGAATGAATATTGCCTCAGGCCACTCCCCGTCGGGATCCGCCAGTGTCTTCTTGAATGTCCATATTGTGGAAACAACAGCAGGAACCAAAAACCATTTCAGTCAGAGGCAAGTCCAGACCGATTCCACTGTGTAGGACCATCACGAGCACTAAGGTAACAAAGTGATGAAAACACTTTGACATTAATAGGTCCTTGTCTGCTTATTTGTAGACATGGTAGATAGCTTACCTTGACATCCTCAAAAGAGTTGACAACAAACGTGGACAGTCCTTCGACGTACGGCCCTAGCACTGGATGTTCCCGTACCTTCAGCTGAAACACGCACAGTCAGTGTCATTCTTAAATCAACTCACTGCAAGTAGATGTTCATGAAGGTCTGTCATAGCCACAGGAAAAGATGAAAGATAAAATTAGCACCAGTACACAGTAGTGTAACGTGACACCGATGTATCAGGGAATCACGATTTTTCTCCTATCGATACAAGTATCAATCAGTCGCACACTAAGTAAAAAATATTGAGGCAATGTTTGCTTTAATAATTGTTACACCAAACACCAAATAGTAGTGAAAATTAGTATTGAAAACATAAATATTTTCATCCTTTGTGCCATACTTGACACTGCTAACTGTAAATTGTGCCAGGTATTTGGCCATCCTGTCTGTGAAAAAGATAAGAGCACATCAAGTATCGTGATACGTATCGGATGGTTAGCAAGGCATTATGATACATATTAGATCGCACAGTTGGTGTATCGTCCCAGCCCTACCAGTACACAGATCAATCTCATTAAAACGAGATAAACATTTGACAGGAAGGGACGTTGCATAGTACGTGGGAAGTACTGCTATACAATCTCGACCATATATTATACATTCCAGAAAGTACTCCAGAGAAATTTGTCAACATATTTTTCAAGCGTAATCTGAAATGAAAGTCACCAGTTTGAAACTAGTGCCATGAAGCTCGAGAGAGCTGCTTTCTGATTTGCTAATGTGGACTTCTTGTAAGTCATTTCACTGGTCGCTCAAAGTTCGTGAAAATCGGTCTGACATGACCTGTAACGGAATTTCCTCAGATCTTTGTTTAGCGGTAGGGACAACTAAGATCTGATTTTAATGAGATTGTACACAGATCTATATTATGGTCAAATAATGGCCATAATGGTCAAAGAACCTGTTTTGATAAAAAATATTATTTTTTAACATGCTAAACATTGTATTCTTTAATAAACATACTAATTCAGTGTGTTTAATTAATAAATTATGTCCAAATCCTCTAGACAGTTAATTAATAGTTCTAACCTGTATTACACCTAATCGGCTTTATCACTGATCAGAACAGTATTTCAATTATACCATGGCATAGAAGCTGATGAAAAATTTAATTACACCTAATCGGCTTTATCACTGATCAGAACAGTATTTCAATTATACCATGGCATAGAAGCTGATGAAAAATTTAATTACACCTAATCGGCTTTATCACTGATCAGAACAGTATTTCAATTATACCATGGCATAGAAGCTGATGAAAAATTTAATTTAAAACAAACATTTGATATCAAATAACCTTATTTGCCACAACTTATTATCTACACCCACGGACTGTCAGCACCCACATGTGAAACATGGCAGAAGTTGAGATATCCCCTCAGCTTCAGGGCCTCACCCTATTTGGCGCCACACGCCAAGGGGAGCAACTCACACCCAAATCACTTTCCACATGTCATCTGTCAAGTCAAGACGTACATGAGAGAGCTCAGATAATTTTTTTCTGTCAACCAATCGATTGAACAATCACAAGAGTTGAAGACATGGCTGAACAAACTGTATGTGTGGTAAATTCCCTTTTCTTTTGCAAAGGCGTAACACCTCGCATTTCCTTTAAGTTTGATGTTGTAAATTTGGCTTCCATGCATACGTGGCACGTCCATTCAATCGTAATGGCCCCCGCTTGGTAGTCATCATTGTTTTTGATCTTTAACTCATGATCGTTTATAAAAACGACATGGTTGTTCATTATCATTACATTGTAAACTACATATTAGGCTAAGGCTCGGGATCGAGATCGCTCTCCAGCGGAAGGGGTGGCGGGCGCTGGCCCGTTCACTTCCTCAGCGCCTGTTTCCCAGGCGGAGCCGGAGGCCTTCTAAGAGGCCGAGGCTTCGACCTGTGGTTCCGTGCTCAGTGGTCAGGTGGGTTCTCTATGGTCGAGGAGTCGGAGTTAAACTTCGGCTCGGAGACTAGGGATGAGGAGTCAATGGAGGAGGGAGAGGAAGGCTCGGAGACCCCTGCAGGGTTTTCCTTCGCTTCCTCTCTGCGACACGTACGGGACAAAATTATCCAGGTACTGCCGCAGCTGGCTGCCCCCGCTCCCGAGTCGGACTCGTCTGAGTTCTGCCTTCCGGGGGACGTGTTTGTGCCTTGCAAGCCGCCCAAGGTGCGACTCCGTATTCTGTCATCGTTTGCGTAACGAGGCCATCGATCCTCTGTTGTTGGTTTTTAAAAAAATAACGGAACTCTCTTATTAAAACGATGTGTTTATTTACTCTTGTTGCAGACGGATGCCTCTACCTAAGTAATCTTTGGGAGTCTGTCTTTATGCAATAAGTGCCCCAAGGAGGATTTAATCAGAAAGAGAATTTTACAAACCTGTAGAGGTTATGAATTCTCTGATGAAATCCTCCTTGGGCTACGGCCACCCACCGCCCCACATACCGTCTGCAAGAGGACATATGGAAAGTGATTTGGGTGTGAGTTGCTCCCCTTGGCGTGTGGCGCCAAATAGGGTGAGGCCCTGTTTGGGTGGTCGTACATCATACACAAAAAACGTTGTTTTTTTAGTGTGGTAATATTTTATTAGGAACAAAATAGTTACAACATGTCATGTAGATTTTCTGCAGCCTGGGAAATGCAATAAGTGCCCCAAGGAGGATTTCATCAGAGAATTCATAACTCTACAGGTTTGTAAAAACTTACCGTGGGTTTCTTGCCACCTTTGTCTTTAGATGACATCAGCAGGTCATGAATCTTTTCATTGTAAATCTCAAAGAAGCTGATTTCAACACTGATTTTCACCTGAAATAAACAGATTTTGTCAAAGTGTATCAAGGGAGCATCATGAACAATGGCATCATGGCAGCCCACGGAGTCTGGACATGCTGACGGATGATGTTACATTTTATACAATTAGATCAAACACAGGATTACCACAAATCATCCTAATCCAGTGACTTGTGAATAACTGGAACAACTGGAAGGACCACATTTTACATAAATCACTATTAACCATGAATGTACAACATCAGATTTTCCCTTCTCATCTATTTTGTCCAGTCAGGTCTTTCAACATGTTCAAGCAGCAGTTCCCAGGACAGTTGAAGTGTAGGACAGGTATCTTCGTGTTAATCATCTGTGATAAGTTTTAATATCATGTGCATACTGAATGATGATAGAATTGAGAATCTTACCTTGTCTTTATCTCGGAAGTTTTCTGCTCGAGTAAAAAGCTCCTCACAGAAGCGGGGAATAATGCCTGTCTCCGAGCCATGGCCCATTATGCTGTGAAACAAAACACAAGCATTTACAGAGGTCAAAATATGTGGGGAGCCCAGGCATTAAGGTGGGGCATTAACCACACCGGTCTGTAAATAATCAAATCTGGATCAGACAGTCCAGTGATTGACATCATGAACATCGATCTATACAACTGGGATACAATTATATGGATCAACCACGTCAGTGAGCCTGACCACCCGATCCCGTTAGTCATCTCTTACGACAAGGATGGGTTGCATAAGACCTGGTCTAACACGGATCTTCATGGGTTCCTACATTCTCCTTTGTGTCCAGTGGGACATATCTGTGCCTTGTTCATTGCAGTAGAGCTTATGTAGAGTCAAGTCTTATTAATCCTACACTCATTAATCAAACAATCGGCCTTATCCGACACTAATGATGGGAACCGATTAAATCAATGCTATTTAGACTCGTTAATCCGACAGTCTCACACTCCGACTCTGACACACCTAATTTGCAACGAATTACCGAAGTCACTCATTAATCAGTCTCGTTAATCCGACACAGTGATCAGCGTACTCCGTGGTCAGCTGGTAGCTGCATATTACAAAGCAGCAGAGATAAACTTTGCTTAACAATAAACAATTAACATTGATTAATGCTTTAAATAAAGAAAACAGGATTAATCACATGTTTAGATTGATTACCTCAATCAGATACAAGTTCTCGCTATCGCCGAGGACATCCCATTACAGGTCACATCAGAAGAACTTTTCGCGAACTATGACCGACGAACTTTGGTACTACTTAATTTCGTTTATCCGACATACTCATATGCGACCAGCCATGTCGGATTAACGGGACTTGACTGTATATGTGATGCCTGCATTCCATCAGTAAATAAAGATCTGTACATGTGATCAGCTGAAGAAGCTACATCGGGTAACCACCTCATGTTGTTATACTACCGTCTTACCGTATCCATGGTATCAAATATCTTCACGCATATTTGAACACAAGAAAACAAACACTAATCAGGTTCTGGTGGTTTAGTTCGTGTAGTTTAAACAAACATGCAGCTGATCTGGAATGTGTGCAGCTGTGTGTGTATATGCCTATATCCAGAGCTCCAGATAAGCTGCGTATCTGCGTAAAATACGCATCAGAAATGCAGAAATACGCAGTAAAATCAAATCCAAGCGTATCAAATACGCAACGAACATTTGATTTTTGTAGTGTATCTGTAATGTCATTACAGATACGCTACAAAAATCAAACTTGTGCGTATCATCAAAATATTGTGAAGTAACCCTGCGTATTCGTTTAGCAAATCAGTAACTTATTTTGAAATTATAAAGGGGCATTCCGTCAAACTTGCCAAACTCCACGATGACAGTTACATCATGATCATTTGCCATCACACTTTTGTGTGGAAGTATGGTGGTATTTTTGAGTCCTTTAAAGCTCTCGAACCCACACGACACCAGTTTGCAGGGACCAGATGAATAGTGTTTTTAGATATTTAACTTAAATACCCACATATGTAAAAACTAGTGGGTAACAGAAATTTGAATACCCATATAGCATGTATAGAATTACTGATACCCAATGATTTTAAAATGCATGGGTAAAATACCCACAACACCAAAAGCTTATCTGGAGTTCTGTATATCATTCATGGCACATCATCAATCATTTTGAGCATGTGGAGGATATTGCAGGTGCTTGCACAGAACTGCATTTGGAACCAAACAATTTCAGGAAATGAAAGGAATTATTGCTAGTCTGGGTATTTTACCATCTTCATGATCATCATGATCGTATGTCTACATGGTTAATTTCAATTTATTTACAATATCCACTATCAAATATATCACTATAGTCATGATAGTATGATCATCATTCATGAGCCTTATAAATTATAATAAGACTACTTCAACTATTGTTTATGTTGTTCTGAGCAGTGATTTCCAACAACTATTCATTTATGGAGTCACTGAATAATGCTGAATAAGCTTTAAATGAAAACATTACTTTAATTAGTAAGTTTAATCATTTATCACAATCTGCATGACCATGTTGACAAAGAGGATCTGTGCCAAAACCATTTGAGTCTTCTGTCCAGAACTGGTCTCAAAGCATCTTGTTTTTTAATGTTGTGTGGCCCTATTTAACTTGCTTAATGTATTTCTGATGATTATTGTGGCAGTAGACTGAGGCTTTTGCAAACTATTGAGCTTATTATTATCATGATTATTGTGGCAAGCACTTGACACCTCCCGGAGCTCCACTGTGAGGAGCTGGTTTGTTCAGTTGCCAACTTCCAGCATTAAACTACATTCTACCATGAATTGGGGGATTATTCAATTCTGATTGGTCAATCAGAGGTATCAAATCACAATAAACCCCATCTGATTGAAACAGCCAATTTGACAGCCACATTATCACAGAAGCTAATATTCATAGAGTACCTTTATCAGTCATTGTTAGTAGGCATATTTAAATAAAATTACATTGTTCGAGGCACTTCTACACAGTATTTTCTAGAGGGCAGAAAGTTCCTAAAAGTAAAGACAAGGGCAATTCAAGGCCTTCCTTTTACAACCTGACTAGCGTCTATCCACCTGCCCAATGCGGACGGGATGCCTATCAGAAAACACCAACTTTTCTGCCTGTTTCCAACACTGATTTATGTATTCAACATCAGGGCATGTGCCTCATTAAAGCTATTCAACTGTGACAAATACTGGACATTCAAGAGTGCAGGAGTTTGGGAATAGGGCCATGCTATTGTTTTCTAGCTGCCGCCACATATGTTGACCATTGTATCACATATACTATTGACCCATTGTGTTGCCTTTCATGAGAGCAAAGCAAATCCTGTGTATCTCAAAATGACAGATATAATATTTTGACTATTCATTGATCTTGTTTAGCTATTTCCTGATTTAGTCCTGATGAAGCAAGTAGCTCTGAAACGTCAAGACAATGAATAATTGAAGTTGCTATCCATAAAATGTGTCATGTATTCATGTTCTTCCAACTTCTAAATGCCTATCAAAGACTTGATTTAGTTCTGTACCTACTGATTTCTAGGTCAACCTTCGTGTTTCAATTTGGGAATTAACTTGAAAGTGTAAAATTTAGTGTTAATATCTGAATCATTAGAACTATACTTCCTAGACCTAAAGAAATGTTACTAGATGCAGGATTCAGACTAGTGGTTTAACATTGTGTAACAAGTGAGGTTAAGTATAGGTCTGATGTTTACATGTTTAGATATTCCACACTTTATCATGTTCTTGATTTCTTCTTAAAATAATAAAATGAAATGTTTCAAATCATGAAATATTTTAACAATTTGTTTAAAAGTGGGTGCAAACCTATAGCTTTTCCCGCTGCCAGTCTGTCCATAAGCAAACAGGCAGGTGTTGTAGCCCTCGAAGGCCTTGCCGAGGAGAGGCTGGGCCAGGCTGTCATAGACCGACTGCTGACTCGAGAACTCACTGTGGCCTCGCTCACATGACCAGAAGGAAAAGTCATATGCAAATCTGTAGGTCAAACCATTCTCTGCTGTCACTGTCGTTTCATTGCCATTCATCGACACAACTGTCTTGACATTTGGGTCCAATAATTCCCTGAAACATAATGGAAGTGGAGGAGATATGATGATTATGATGATGATGATGATGATGATGATGACGATGACGACGTCGAAGACGATAATAATAATAATAATTCCATTAAAAAAGCGCCAGATTCCATTCACCAAGTTAATGCTCATGGCGCTACATACATTAAGCAGGTTATGCTACAGCGAGGACAAAGAGATAGCAGGGGACGAGGGGTGATGAATTTAGACTGATGTACATGATGTAGAACACCAGCATGAACACAGAATCTTTTCTGTCGGTTGGGGGAAAACTTTGATTACTATCATTTCTGTGCAGTTGGCAAAATTATGCTTGAACATGTTGAACATGAATCCCCATGACATTCACAAACGTAATGCTGAAGACTAAAGATGTAGGGCTCTCAGATTCAAATACCATGAATATCATAGGCTTGATGGGAGAAGAACTAGAGGTGAGCATCGCCTGGTATCTTGCGACTACGGATATGATTAGCATCACGATAAGGATTATACTTCTGGTATCCTGTTACAACACATTAAATAGTAAGCATGGTAAGAAATGATGAAATCACTGAAATACAGCTCAAAAGCCTCTTTCTGGATACAATGACTTATTGTTATATCGGAAACCTTAACAAAGTGTGTTCTGCCATGTTACAGGTGCATGGTCCCATGCTACTTCTGCCATTACGGGTGGTAACTCTATTAGCATGATTAGTTCCTGTTCTATTTATAATGTATTGTGATTTCACAAACTGACGATTCAAGTATCGCATGTACCTAATTATCGCATGTACCTAAGTATCGACAATATCATATCGGTGAATCGCTACAGCCCTTCCAAGAACCCATCTTAATCATGTTCATTTCAAACACTGCTGTGTGTTTACTATCAGACTTTTAGACTTTTTCCTGTTATCATGGTTATCATGCGTGTGTTTTTAAACGCTGCACTCAGCAATATTCCAGCTATAAATAATCAAGGCTGGATCAGATATTCCAGAGATTGATATCATGAGCATCAATCCACACAATTGGCAAATGATTGGGATACGATGACATGCATTAAAACCAAGTCAGCAATCACCAAATCCTTCTAGTCGTCTCTTACAACAAGCATGGGCTGCTGAAGACTTATTCCATCCCGGATCTCCACGATTATCATGATTATAATAAATATTATCAGATATAATCATCATCATCATCATCATGATTACTGACCATGCTGACCACATACATAATACTATAATAACATGTACGGAGACAAGAGACTTTAATAATACTGATTTTGCTTTGATGGCACAAGGTTAGATTTTTACTTCTTAACAGAAAATTCATCTAGCATTAGTCTTCATCTTCCCAACATGTGTCTAAACTGTATCATGATAAAAACCATCTGTGCACATGTTAAACATGTTCACTTACTTCATGACATCTTGAATTTGACTTATTAATGCTGCAAATTAATGATGATCATTATAATTTAATTACTCTAATTTCGAAACTGTCAAATAATTAATTTGAGACACCAAAAAGCTCCTACCTTTGACTGAGGGGTCGAACACGTACAGCCACAGTGACACTCGTACAGCTATCTTCATCACTGTCGATATCACCAAGGTCATCATAACTCATGTCATATTTCCGGGGGGTTTCCATCTGTACAACTTTGTAACAGTCCGGAGTCCGAAATATACGGCTTTCCAGCGTATGACGTCTTGCAACTTTTGTTGGTGTCCGAAATGGATCTGTACATGGAGGCCCTAATTCAATGTCAAAGAGAGGCTTTTTAGGAGCCTCCTCTACTTTCTTCACTTTTGGAGGCAGTGTTTCAACTTTCTTCTCTTTTGGAAGACATTCCTCTGGTTTCTTCATGATTTGATCTTTCGTATCTTCAAGACTTGAATCAGGAGTAGATGTGTCAATTGGCTGAGGTGGGTTATCCATGCCTTTGTTTTCTTTACCAATATTTAATCCAAGTTTTTCTGTAAACTTGGACACAAATCTTGACATAAGATTATTTTCCATTGGGGACAACGGGTGTATAGCTGCCTCAGGTTTAATCATCCCAGTAGACTGAGTGCCTCCTATAGAAGTTTCGACCGTTTCTTCATTGAATGTTACCCCTTTTGAGACAGCATTGGATGGAACATAGGGTAAAAGTCTCTTACTCTTACCCTTAGGCGTAGCCTTTTTCGGTGAATTTATCCTTCCTGACATATTTACTCACTCTGTGATTCCGTAACAAATTATCAAACCACAATGTATAAAATATCACGCCCTATGAAACACACCTCGCCGGGCAACATGACACAATGTAAAGATTTCAAGCGTACGTTTCGTTATTATTAATCCTGTGACACTGGTTGCACTGCAAGGAATGAACTGGGTCGGAATTAATCACACGCACCGGGATTACCTGTTAATCTCTCTCGATATAGAACAGTCACGGGCCACCAAATGTCAATGTCAACCAGTACCGATAGCAAATGAAATCTACAATAAAAGGTACAGTTTTCGCGCACACGCCAACGTTACTCACAAACATAGTCAATCACTGGAGATTTTTAGGTAGATCGCATGAATACCCAGTTCGTATAATCTTTCATCTTTTGATAATCCATTAGATCGTCGATCGTCAATACACAAACATAATCCACTTGATGACTTGTTTTGAAATTGCCTCGCCTTTGCGCCAGCTTTCGACCGATTCGAACAAGCGCGGTTCTGATTGGCTAGTATTTTTAGAAATAGACATTTTCGTTCGAAGCTTTTCTGAGTCACTAGAGGCCTCAGTCGAATCGCTACAGTCGAAATATCATTTGAGGAAAAATCTATACGCATTTGTGAACACTGGTGCTTCGGGCGCATGTTACATAGTTTTAAAACTTTCACTGATCTGTCATATACAATTTTTGTTTAAATATTTGATACCAAAAATACTCCTATTATTTTATATGGAGCAGAGGTCTGGGGTCATGCTGAATACAGAACAATTGAACTGGCCCATCTATATGCTTGTAAAAGTTTCCCACCGTAAAAAAAAATATACATCGAATGTTATGGTATATGGTGAATGTGGACGTGTACCACTTTACATATTTCTATGTGTTAGAATTCTTAAGTATTGGTTCAAGATTCGTAAAATGCCTATTGGTAGATTACCAAGAAAATGCTATAACATGATGTTATTGTGTGAATAACACTGAATTCGCAATTAGGCATATGATGTAAAGTCGTCATTAAATGAATTCGGCTATGGGTATGTTTGGCAATTCGGCTATGGGTATGTTTAATCAATGTGTACCTAACAATCCAGATTCGTTTTTAGTATCTATACACCAAAGACTTAAGGATATCTACTTACAAAATTGGTCATCGCATGTTTTAAGTTCAGAAAAATGCAATTATTACAAGCTTTTTAAGACAAATATTTCCCTAGAATACTATTTGTTTGATATCAATTTTAAAAGATAAAGACTAGCTTTAGGCAGTTTAGATGCAGCTCTCATAGACTTTGGATCGATGTCGGCAGACATGGAAACATAGCTAGAGAATTGAGAACAACGTGATATAAATATGATTGAAGATGAATTTCATCTCCTGATAGTCTGTCTAAAATATGACCATTTAAGAAGTAAGTATATGGAACTGCCTTTTTATGTACATCCCACTCAGCAAAAATCTATATCGATCATGTCAAAAGTGATAAAGATACCCTTAAAAAATTATCAATGTTCATTTATCATGCTATGATAACAGAATATGACCTGTTCAACATATCTGCAACCACTCCCGAAAACAGAATTGTACTGTGAGCCTGATGCCTTTCAGTATGGAATAAAACTTATCCTTTTCCTTATGTTAATTAATTTCTTTAACATAAAAAAAACAGACAAAAGGTTCACCTGATGCCCTTATTTGGAAATACCCATAATGGTTATAGTATGATGGGTTCTCTGATTGTGTAGAAGACATCAAAATGACAGATTGATTTGGGTCCCATTTGTGTATTTCCTAGCTTGACATGTTAACCCCTCCTGCTGATACGGGTCCTTCCCACGGTTAGACCTAAACATGTTTAGATGTTGCACAGGCGCGTTTAGACCCTAAACCCTATCAATATTATGGGACTTGTTTCGGTTTGTGTTTAGGCACAAAACACATTTTTATACAGTGTGCTCGTCCCGCGGAGTAGCAGGCTCAGATCAATCCCTTAACAATTCATTCTAGAGTGGTTCCAGCCTCAAATCACCTCAAATGCTAGCCCAGGCTCAAGTCACTCCCCTCTACTATGGCTCAGGTCACTCCGCGGTGGAGTCGAATCAATCTTCTACACCATTTCAATATCCTATTTCTCCTGTTCTGTATGGCATACAGCTGTAAAGGTTTCAGATGTTCACGCGACCTTCTTCCCTGAAACAGCTGATTGTTCCGTTGTCGCCACACATACTTATTTGTCTACAGTAGGTAGGTATGCATGAAAGTATCTATATATTACTCTTAAGTTAACATGTGACATCAATCGCCCGTTACAATTCTGAAAGGATGTTTACTCTAAAAAGTGTCAGATTTTTCAAATCGTTAGGTTAAAAGTCACTTTGATTCCTCTTTAGATATTTCTAATCATAACAATCATATCAGGGTTATGTCAAACTTCGACGCATGAAAATAATAAGACGCGTCTGTACACTGTGTATACCCATATGAAATATGTAGATAATAATTATATATCCTAGTCCTTTTTGAGAATATATTATTTGATTTGGATTTCATAATACTAAAACTTAGAAGATATTATTATTGAACACATATGCTCTTTACATAACATACACGTGTAAAATCAACACCCCGTGTTGTGTTTGCCCATTACCTGGCACTGGCTGTAGTAGGGCTGGGACGGGTAACTCGGGTACCCGGGTCGACTGGGTACTGAGTAGGATCCGGGTACCCTCAGAACTACCCGGACCCGTGGTTAGTCACGTGATATATTGCTTAATACATGTATCTAAATACGTTTTGCCAGGGATATGGTAAAAAAATTCCCAATCGGACATTTTGTACCTATCTGTTGAGACCTAGAGTGGGTACCCGGGTGAGGGAGAAAGGGAACAGGATGGATATCAACCTTCTGAGGTGTACACTGGGAGTCGTGTAGTAGGTGTAGCCTGTCTTGAAGACCCTGCCCTGATATTTCAATGTATGTCTGGAACTGGAACTATACTTGGAATATGTGACAGAGCTCAATATCAATCTCATTAAAATCAGATCTTAGTTTTCGCTACCGCTAAACAAAGATCTGAGGACATCCCATTACGGGTCAAGTCAGAACGACCTTTCACGAATTTTGACCGACCAATGAAATGAATGATAAGAAATCGACATTAGCAAATCAGAAGGTAGCTTTCTCGAGCTTTACGACACTAGTTTCAAAATGGCGACTACGCTTCAAAACATATTTTGACGTATTCTCGATTAAAAATATTAAACTGATAAGATGAACATTCTGGAATGGTTTATAGATGGCCTAGATTGTATGGATATAATCACAAAACTCGTTACTGTCATTCGGAATACCCAGTGTTAAAGTTTTCGTGGTTGCATGATTAGAAAACACATTCCGACTGTCACTTTCATGATCTGGTAAGCGACGTTCTGATTGGTCGGATGAAAGGTCGTTCTGACGTGACCAGTAATGGGATGTCTTCACATCTTTGTTTAGCATTAGCGAGAACTATGATCTGAATTTAATGAGAATGCTCAAATATGAACTGTTCAATTTTTGCTTTGATCATTTTGATATTTGTTAGCAACTCCAAATGCCCAATGGAAAGTCACCTCATGGCTCTAGGGGGTGAAGGGGATATACTAAGCCTAATCTTAAGAGTGTCAAAACTAAAACTGATAGAAGAATACAAGAGGCTTACACCTACAGGGAACAGTTTCAGTAAAGATATTTGTAATGGGGTCATTGGTTTTGTCTGCAACAAACATCATCTTGATAGCTCATTTGTTTTGTTTGACAAAGTATCACCTGTCGTACAGTCTTACTTAATGAAACTAGTATCAAAGCATGATAAAACTTAAAGAGAGGGGGGAGCAATTTAAACACCTACTTGTAACCTGGGAAAATGAATTCTATGATATCAAAGTTATTGTTTCTAAATTAGGAAAAGAGAGAAACTTTAAAAGGAGTATTTTCGCAAATATATATCAGTGATCAGAAAGGCTAAAAGGATGCAATCTAAAACTGTGACTCTTAAAAAAAAAATCGAAAGTTGTGTACAAAGCCCCAAAATTTTGATGGGAAGAAGTATCGAATACTGAAATTCGTTGTCCAACGAAAACACTTTGTCCAGATCACAGCATTACAAACGAAATCACCTACTAATAGAAGACTCTAAAAAAGCCCTGACTTTCATGAACAATTATGAACTAGACCCAAATATCAGTACAGGCACAAAGGACAGATGGTCAAAAGTGTTTAGTTTCTTTAACTGAAAATAATGTAACCAGTTATAAGGAAAATATGGACAACCAATTTCAATAGACTTTTGCATGTCAAAGATACGCAAACTATTTCTCACAAAGCATATCATGAGTTATCAATGACAATACCGTTTTTACCAAGGTCACATGTTTTGTCTCAAAAGATAAAAGAATACAATGATACTTTCAAAATAGTTAACACTCAAGATCCTAGTGTTAGTCTACAGCAATCCCAGAAAGATATATGAGGTAAATGTGTTTCACACATTTTGACAACAGGGGCTAGAGAGAAGCTTCTTGAAAGTAACCATCTGCATGTTAAACTAACTGGTGATGGTACTTAACTTGGCAGGAGAAAGAAATTAATAAATTTCGGGTTCACCATACTTGAGGAGGAAAACTGTCTATCTGTTAATAGGGCGTTCGCTCGTCACGCCGAAGACCCGGTTTCGATTCCCGACATGGGTACAATGTGTGAAGCCCATTTCTGGTGTCCCCCGCCGTGATTTTGCTGGAATATTGCTAAAAGCGGCGTAAAACCATACTCACTCACTCACTATCTGATAATAGCAATTACTTACTAGATGTATTTTCAGGGAAAGAAACGTACCAGAATGTTTCAGATGCACTGACAGAAATCAATGATGTAGACAGAGAATTAGACCATGTAGGTGTTCATGGTCAAATATTTCAGGTAACTTCTTTTCTTGGTGGTGATCTTAAGTTTCTGAACATGGTCTCAGGAATATCCTCATGTACTTGCAACTACAGTTGTGTGTGGTGTAAATGTCCATCAAAAGACCGATATGACACCACTATGCAGTGGTCAGTTAGTGATGTTTCTCAGGGAGCAAGAACTGTACAGGAAATTTCTATGATGGCTACAAGAAAGTCACACAACTTTAACTGTGTTCATCCTCCTCTGTTTGACTTTATTCCAATTAATAGAAGAGTTCCAGATCTGGTTCACATGTATTTGCACATATCCGATCAATTGGTAAAGCATCTTATCACAGAGTTGAGAGTTTAGGACAATGTCCAAAGGTGTAATAGTGTGTACAACAGAGAAAGGTGAAAGATTTGAGAGATTTGTGCAGGGTCTTGGTGTGGAATTTTATTTTAAGAATGATAAAGCTTCGGGAAGATTCATTTTCCGTGATTTTACCGGACCAAAGCCTTAAAGGGTTCCCAGCATATTATCATCCCAGATTTTAAGGGCATCATCAGGGTATAAGTAATATGTCTTTTAAAATAATTTTTACACGTTTCACTATGTATATATCATCACCAAGGAGCAGGTGAGTATGGCTTGGTGAGGAATTACACCTTGTCAATTTATGCTGCAGACTGTCAGTAAAGAATACTTAGTCGTGGTCGATAAACATGGCGACTCTCAAACAGTTCAGTGACATTTTAATGCATCACCAGCAACGACCAAGCAGAAATACGTTTAGTGTATTAGTAAGGGGATTTCTCCATTGTGTAATAGTGGACGGTCGCTCGGGGGGCAATTTGGTTATCTCAGTTGAAATCTCAATCATGGTTTTGATTGAAACAGTTCTTCTCCCTAAGTTTAAATTGTGCTTTGGGAATCTAATATGAACGCTGAATGTGTATTGGGGCATATATATTGCCATTGTTTCTGCATTTACCGCTAACTTCGAACATATTTCCTGTATGGAAATATTAGATGTCTCGAGCACCCTCGACTCATGCTTCAATTACTTTTTTTTATATAGATTTGTCATTAATAAACATTTTACAACATAAAAAGACTTGGGGTTATATTCATTACGCTGATTGGTGAGTCGATATTCCAGAAATGTTTCGAGAATGAACAGCTTGGATTTACTGAGTTAACACCCCTATAAAATGGAATCTCTCATTTCGTTCTGAAAAAAGTAGGTCACGAGACGAAAGCAGTTGTATGTTTTGACTTGAATATCCATGTAGAAATAATATATACTGAACCGCAAAAAGAAACGGGGAAACCATGGATAGATATATGAGAAACCTTCTTTGTCCAAACAGTGTAAACATACTTTGAAACATATCAAAAAGATGAAACTTGGCAAAACTGATCATCAAGGTTGAAATTAAAGGGTCAAACGTTCTTAAAGTGAAACACAACACTAGTCTCTGAGAAAATGGCATCACAAGTAAGTATCTCGTGTGTCCGCTATGTGCATTGATGACTGCCGTGCCACGTCGACACATTGAATGGATGAGGCGGTTGATGGAGGCCATAGGCATTTGAGCCCACACTCTGAGGAACGCCTGACGCAGTTCAACTGCCGTTGTCGGCCTTGGTCGGACGTCATTCAGCCGTCTTTGAATCTCGTCCCACAGGTGCTTAATTGGATTTAAATCGAGGCACGGGCGTTATCATGCTGAAACTCGTGGTTGCGGCGACGTGCCAAATGAGATATGGCGTGAGGTCACAAGACTTGATCAATGTACCGAGCTGCTGTGACACCATTGCCTCTCCCTGAACCGATGTTCTGGAAAATCACAGGGCCGACCCTCTGTGCAAGACCAAATCCACCCCACACCATGATGCTCGGACTACCCACGAGTCTCTCTCAACATCATAAGCATCCGAATAACGTTCTCCACGGCGTTGCCAGACTCTCTGTCGTCTGTTGTTGAGATACAGTAACGGCTCTCGTCTGAGAAGAGGACTCTTCTCCGCTGCTGGTGGTGCCAATGCTGGTGCTGTGTTGCCCACTGAAGACGGTCCCGGCGATGACGTGGTGTCAGAATGGGTCCTCGGTGTGGCCTGTGACAGTGGAGGTGTCTGCTCGTCAGTCGTCGACGCACGGTGTCCGCACTAATGTGTCGCTGGTGTGTCCCCATGGTCTGTCGAGCAGTTTCCGCAGCAGTAACAAAGCGATCTTGAAGATGCTGTCGCACAATCTGATGATCCTGACGTCGGCCGGTGACCCTTGGTCTGCCACTACGTGGTCGGTCATCTGTAGTGTTGGTGGTCTGGTACCGTTGCTATTGTCCTTACGTGGACTTAAAATGCATTGGCTACTTGCCGAGCGGTTTGTGCAGCTTGCAATCGTCCAAGGGCTTGGTGTCGTTGATTTCTTGTCAATCTTGGCATGTGGTAGCAATTCAATAACGAAAAAATGAATGCTATCCGATCTGGGTGGATTTTTATAGGGCAAGAAATGGGGGAACGCATGTGCATTTCAATTTGCACGGAACTCACGTGCATCGGGTTACCATGGCCGTTGCCGTGATGCGTTTGGGCGATCGGTTTTATTGTCATCTACTTTGTTTTTTTGTTTTTTTATCATCAAATTTTCTTTTTTCCAGACAGGTGAGGTGAGGTGAAATGGGGTTTAACGTCGCGTCCAAGATTATTGCACTTATATAGCGACGTGCATGCACGTGTGTGTGAGGGTGCCTGTACTAGTCCGGACTGATGCCGATTTATAGTGCTAGCACACTGAGATACCATGCCGCAGTTTAACATGAAAACCCCACTCAGACAGTGTATACTGACTCCGAGCCGACCAGTCCTTGTTTTAGCCCTTTAATGCCGAGCGCCAGACAGGGTAACAACAAGTACCATCTTTTAACGTCTTTTGGTATGACGCGGCCGGGGATCGAACCCCGGACCTTCCGCTCTCCGGGCGGACGCTCTACCACTAGACCACAAAGGCGGTATTTTTTCAAGACAAGGTAATGTTAAATTTTAGAAAATTGACATACCTAGATATTTAAATGACAACTTTTCATGCAATGTTACTTGGGGTGACGTTTCTTTTGCGGTTCAGTATATAACATAAAAACAATTATCCATAAACATAAATATTAAAAAACACACGTTCAAGCACACCCCACAACACCAACCACACATGCCTTCAATACATTTGTAAATTTGTACACAAACATACCAGAACATACAATCAAACACGGACATTTGAAATATACTGAGTCAAATTAAAAACTTCACATTTTTAAAAGTAATCCCATATATGATATACAACGGACAGATGTATCAGAGAAGGTAATTTTTAATCATTAATGTCCAAGCACCTACGGTATTCGGTAATAACATCAACAGTTTAAATCATAAGTCCCAAGCACGAGATGGCACACAAGTTCAGTAGAGTGTATGGCAACCATGTGCGTTGACAACTGCCACATAACGCCTCCGCATGGACCTTGTGATGCTTGTGAACACATGATTGGGAAGACGACGCCATTGTTGCTGCGAAATGGTGCCAAGATCTTGCAAATTCTGTGGTTGGTTCTGGAGAGTGCGCAGACTTCTGCCAAGAGCATCCCAGACGTGTTCGATGGGATTTAGGTCGGGAGACCTTGACGGCCAGTCCATGACGTTGACTACCACATTCTGAAGGAAATTCCTTGTCAAAATTGCTGTGTGGGGTCTGGCATTGTCGCGTTGGAAGATCAAACCGGGTCCATGTGCTGCCACAAAAGGCAGAAGTTCTGGTGCCAGTACATGGTCGCGGTAATCAGCAGCGTTGAGGTTGCCACGGATGACAAGAAGCCTGAAACGTGCATTGCAACAGAAAGCACCCAACACCATGACACTTCCGCCTCGAAATCTGTCAACTTCCTGTACACAACACTGGGCGTAACGTTCATGACGGCGCCTCCACACCCTCGCCCTACCATCAGCAAATCGAAAATTAAATCGGGATTCATCACTGAAGACGACTTGATTCCAATTTCTCTGAGTCCATCGTAAGTGTCGCTGTGCCCACAATTGATGTTGACGTCTGTGTAATTGAGTCAGAATCGGCCCGCAGTATGGCCGTCGTGCTTGAAGGTGAGCAGTTCTCAGACGGTTTCGAACAGTTTGCGCACTCAGTCTACCCCTAAACAGTTCATTTCTGGTTGATGTAGCCGTCAAAAATCGGTTACGGAGGTGACGTAATACAATCTGACGATCCTCTGCATGTGACGTCACACGTGGTCGACCTGCCCGAGGGCGATCAGCGGTGGTACCCGTTTGCTGTAGACGCGTCTGTAAATCATAAACAGTCCGTCGACTACAACCCATCGTCCTTGCGACTTCAGCTACGGACGTTCCCGTCTGCAACATGCCGATGACACGTTCACGTTGCACATTTAAAAGGCGTGGCGTGACAAATGGCCGCAAAGACTTTTGTTTTCTTGTGTTTTTCTTTTTTTTGTTAATGACTGCTAACAAGTATGGCTGAAAACACGTGCGGTATTATGGCAACGTGACCAGCTGCACGTGAAAAAACACTTTTGCCACTATAGTGCTGTGCACATGATTTTGATCGATTCACCTGCACAAAATCGGGTGTTATCTGAAGACAATACGTGGCCATTACTGTTTAAATACACAATAAGGGCCCACAATGATAACTGGTCAAAATGTTAAAATTTTAGGATTGTGAAGTTTTTAATTTGGTTCAGTATAGTAAGGGGTGTGATTTGGACCTACGAGAGTGGAGTGCACTGAGCTGAGGGGGTGTGATTTCAGCTATCTACAACACGGTAACCAGATCGTCTAGGACCATTCTACAAGATAACATATAGATCTATGTCAAGGACAGGTAACACTATTTGATACGATGACAGGCAATCAAACATCAATGCTTTATTTATATCCCTGAATCAAAGCTATTGTGTCTTCGAATCCATTGTTACAGTAGACGTTACAAGCTGGTAACGTTCCTGTCGAGTTTGTTACTAAGCTTATTATTTCTGACGGAAAGTACTTTGCATTTGGAAGGGGCGTTTAACTCCAACAGGGTTGGTCATGCATGACTGAGTGTGCAAGGAGGTTTCGAGAGACTTACATTGTTACTGACTATTTTGCAGATCAAAGGTTTGTTTCCAAGAGATGATGAAGAATTGTCACAACATAGATATAATGCATTTGCTATAGATATGTTTCAACGAATGTCAACGTGTGACAAGTCTTTGTAATATGGAAATTGTCACGATTACTTAGTCTAGTTTCGTTTTATACTTCACGATTAACTTATTGTCATGTGTAGTTAAGTCATTCTATTTCTTGTGGTTATGAATTACTCGTGTTGATATTAGTTTTATAATAATGTTAAAAATTAATGTAAATTTTACTTATGTAAATGTGAGTGTATGTGTGTGCAAACACAGAGCACGATGCATGGCATGTGACGTGTGGTCACATCTAAGATGGCAGCTGTGTATGTGCACGTTACACCAAAACAAGAATGATGTCACACTTGAAATTGCTTGAACATTGCTAATAATTTTGCACTCTTTGTCTCAACCTACCTACTGTTATTGGGTCGGTATTTCAAAGAATCAGGTAGCCATTTCAAGAAAACATGTCTAAGCATCTTAAAAAGGTTTTTTTAGAACTGAGCATGAGCATGATGATGTATTTTTTTATGAAGCTAACAGTAAAAGTACTGTTACTAGAGGAGGTATGCAGGACAGGGTGTGAGTTTTGAAGAGGTTTGTGTGAAAGATTAAAGTGGCACTGATCGAACGCAATTCCCCGGGACTGGTTGTTGCCTTTGTTATTGTTTTTTCCCAGTGAGTACCCGGATGTATAGCAGAAATCTAGACTAGTTCGCGACCTCTGCTGCGCCATTTGTAAGCGCATTAGTCACTTGTATGGGTGGTAATATAGAGGGCGTATGGTCACATTGATCAACAAAATGAAATACAGTTTTGGAGATAAAAAACATTTCCATCTGTATTATTATGATAACGAATTCCAAACATTTTGATGTTTAATGTCATCACCAAGAGACTGAAAATGTTACGTTGAAAAGTACATTTCTATGTTGTTTGGCTTCTAATCCTACATAATAATCTGTTGTGATGTTTGTAGGCCCTTTTGATCGCCTTAATCAATCTGGACAGATTTTTTAGTCAAAATGACTGAAATATTTACACATTTTATAAATTGCCTGAGAGAATTACATTTTACAAATTGACGGTAATATATACACGCTTACAAGGGAAAAGGCCTGTGAAAACAACGTCTATCGCGCATTGAAGAATTTCCCAACCAAGACGTAGAGAAACAAAGACGAATCGGTTCAATGCTACAGCAAATGAAGGAAAACAAAATGCAAATACCAGAATTACAACCTACCAAATTTATGTGTATAAATTTTAGGCAGCTTCCTTGTTCGAGGAATGTATCCGTGAATATCCACACAAAGGAACAATATCCCATTCGTCTGCAGCTGTACAAAGAAACCTATTCGATGACACGTGTCTCTGTAACAATCACATATTTTAAAAGATATATATCGTTTCGGGATATTATAACCCGTGTTCGTTTCTCAACTGATCACTTGGATTGTTTCAGGTGTTTCACATAGGTGTCAAGTCTCAAGGGTCAGCTGAGAAAGCCCACGTGACAACTATTTTCATAACGTCCACGGTTCCTAAAAAATCCATTGAGTGATAGATAACAATGATCAATCAATCAACGTATTATCAGTTCACCCTTTCAACAAAGAATGTTGTTTTTACATCGGCACTTCACGCAAGGATATGTGTGTATTCCCTTTGTTTTAGTAAACCTAGACATGTAAACACTCACTTTTGACATATCCACTGTGCAAGATAACAGTGATTAATCAATCAACGTATTTTCTGTTAATCCTTTGATGACTAGGAACGATCCGTTGATTTACAAAAAAAAGTAAATCAACTGATCATTCACCTCTTGCTGGTCTGCCACGTGCATATTACATAACACACATTTCACCTCACTTCAAACCTGGATTTAGATTGAATAATTACCCCAGACACAATAAATGCCAAATGGGAACCTTTGTCAGGTAATCTATGTGGTGCTACCACTGATTGTACCTGTAATAAATTCATTAACTGAGCATCAAGTGAATGACGACAAATACACAAGTGTAGGGTTATGCGAGAAAACGTGGATGACAACAAGGGAGTAGTAATCGTATTATCGACGCAATCCGAAAACCGAAAATGCTTTCACTGCATGGATACTTATTTTAGTGTTAACTATAACCATCTGGGGTAATTCCAAATAACGACATCCGATGAGCTCCGCCGTTCTTTTTGTCTGTTAGTTTAGGCTGAAGAAATTAATTTACATGCGCCTTTTGTCGAAATCTTTTTAGATCACGGTTAACCAATCAGTGTTTATGCAAAAATGCGTAAAACAAATATTGCCTCCAGCCTCCAAGTTTATTTAGCTGTCCTTGCAGACGGTAGCCCAGTCTCTGGTCACGCTCATTTGCGTTGCGTATCATCCGGGTACTCACGGGGGGAAAAACAATAACAAAGGCAACAACCAGTCCGGGGAATTGCGTTAGATCAGTGCCCCTTTAAGATGGCATTATCATGAGTTTAGCTGGTGAACGTGAAGTTTGAGATGTATCAGAGTTTTCATATTACACAAAACATTTGGGAAATTTCCAGTTTACCAAACTCGTAGTCTTTAAACCGTTATTACTTTGCAAATATTAGTTAAAGCATCTACAAATATATTTTCATCTTTTGATGATGCACAAATTTAAAAATGGTGTTCGATTGAAAATATGTTTTTTTGTGAATATCATTTGTTTGGATTTATATTTTACTTTTATTTTAAGAAGTTAACAACATCTAAGTATGTTGATACAATGAAATATTGTTGTAATGGATATTGTCAGTTGACATAAGTCTTACAAAGGTTTCAGTTGTTGGGGAATTGATGAGATTATGAGCAAAACATTCTCTTCTTGGCTCAACAATACATGCAGTTCATCCTCAACATAATCAGGCATGGCAGAATAAACAGAAGCAGTCTTTCCACGGAGTCTCTGTGTGAAGGCCGCATACAATTGGAAGTCTTCCGGCAATATTCCAGCTGTGGATGTTGTTTTACATTACATTCAGCAATATTCCAGCTGTGGATGGTGTTTAACACCACACGCAGCAATATTCCAGCTGTGGTTGTTGTTTAACATCACATTCAGCAATATTCCAGCTGTGGATGGTGTTTTAACATCACATTCAGCAATATTCCAGCTGTGTTTGATGTTTACATCACATTCAGCAATATCATGATATTCCAGCTGTGTTTGTTGTTTAACATCACATTCAGCAATATTCCAGCCGTGGATGGTGTTTAACACCACACTCAGCAATATCCCAGCCGTGGATGTTGTTTAACATCACATTCAGCAATATTCCAGCCGTGGATGGTGTTTAACACCACACTCAGCAATATCCCAGCTGTGGATGTTGTTTACATCACATTCAGCAATATTCCAGCCGTGGATGGTGTTTAACATCACATTCAGCAATATCCCAGCTGTGGATGTTGTTTAACAGCACATTCAGCAATATTCCAGCTGTGGATGTTTTTTAACATCACATTCAGCAATATACCAGCTGTGGGTGTTGTTTAACACCACACTCAGCAATATTCCAGCTGTGGATGGTGTTTAACATCACATTCAGCAATATTCCAGCTGTGGATGTTATTTAACATCACATTCAGCAATATTCCAGCCGTGGATGGTGTTTAACATCACATTCAGCAATATTCCAGCTGTGGGTGTTGTTTAACACCACACTCAGCAATGTTCCAGCTGTGGTTGTTGTTTAACATCACATTCAGCAAGATTCCAGCTGTGGTTGTTGTTTAACATCACATTCAGCAAGATTCATGCTGTGGATGTTGTTTAACATCACATTCAGCAATATTACAGCTGTGGATGTTGTTTAACATCACATTCAGCAATATTCCAGCTGTGGATGGTGTTTAACATCACATTCAGCAATATTCCAGCTGTGGATGTTGTTTACATCACATTCAGCAATATTCCAGCTGTGGATGTTGTTTACATCACATTCAGCAATATTCCAGCTGTGGATGGTGTTTAACATCACATTCAGCAATATTCCAGCTCTGGATGGTGTTTAACATCACATTCAGCAATATACCAGCTGTGGGTGTTGTTTAACACCACACTCAGCAATATTCCAGCTGTGGATGGTGTTTAACATCACATTCAGCAATATACCAGCTGTGGGTGTTGTTTAACACCACACTCAGCAATATTCCAGCTGTGGATGGTGTTTAACATCACATTCAGCAATATTCCAGCTGTGGATGTTGTTTAACATCACATTCAGCAATATTCCAGCTGTGGATGGTGTTTAACATCACATTCAGCAATATCCCAGCTGTGGATGTTGTTTAACATCACATTCAGCAATATCCCAGCTGTGGATGTTGTTTAACATCACATTCAGCAATATTCCAGCTGTGGATGTTGTTTACATCACATTCAGCAATATCCCAGCTGTGGATGTTGTTTACATCACATTCAGCAATATCCCAGCTGTGGATGTTGTTTACATCACATTCAGCAATATTCCAGCTGTGGATGTTGTTTAACATCACATTCAGCAATATTTCAGCTGTGGATGTTGTTTAACATCACATTCAGCAATATCCCAGCTGTGGATTGTGTTTAACATCACATTCAGCAATATTTCAGCTGTGGTTGTTGTTTAACATCACATTCAGCAATATCCCAGCTGTGGATGGTGTTTAACATCACATTCAGCAATATTCCAGCTGTGTTTGTTGTTTAACATCACATTCAGCAATATCCCAGCTGTGGATGGTGTTTAACATCACATTCAGCAATATTTCAGCTGTGGATGTTGTTTAACATCACATTCAGCAATATCCCAGCTGTGGATTGTGTTTAACATCACATTCAGCAATATTCCAGCTGTGGATGTTGTTTAACATCACATTCAGCAATATTCCAGCCGTGGATGGTGTTTAACATCACATTCAGCAATATCCCAGCTGTGGATTGTGTTTAACATCACATTCAG